GTTAACATCTAAGTTGAATGTTTATGACGTTGAATATCAACGTCATCAACATCTAAGTTGAATGTTTATGACGTTGAATATCAACGTCATAAACATCTAAGTTGAATGTTTATGTTGACGTTGAATATCAACGTCATAAACATCAAAGTTGAATGTTTATGTTGACGTTGAATATCAACGTCATCAACATCTAAGTTGAATGTTTATGTTGACGTTGAATATCAACGTCATCAACATCTAAGTTGAATGTTTATGTTGACGTTGAATATTAACGTCATAAACATCTAAGTTGAATGTTTATGACGTTGAATATCAACGTCATAAACATCTAAGTTGAATGTTTATGTTGACGTTGAATATCAACGTCATAAACATCTAAGTTGAATGTTTATGTTGACGTTGAATATTAACGTCATAAACATCTAAGTTGAATGTTTATGACGTTGAATATCAACGTCATCAACATCTAAGTTGAATGTTTATGACGTTGAATATCAACGTCATAAACATCTAAGTTGAATGTTTATGACGTTGAATATTAACGTCATAAACATCTAAGTTGAATGTTTATGACGTTGAATATCAACGTCATAAACATCAAAGTTGAATGTTTATGACGTTGAATATCAACGTCATCAACATCTAAGTTGAATGTTTATGTTGACGTTGAATATCAACGTCATCAACATCTAAGTTGAATGTTTATGTTGACGTTGAATATCAACGTCATCAACATCTAAGTTGAATGTTTATGACGTTGAATATCAACGTCATCAACATCTAAGTTGAATGTTTATGACGTTGAATATCAACGTCTATATGAACAATACAAACCGCTTTGCAAGCCTATATGTTCCGCATTTTACAACATTTCGCAACCAAACTTTGCAATTTTACTAATTTTAGCATATATGCTCTTTCCGGGAATATACTTTTTTTTGCCAAGATAAAAAATTAAGCTATAATGGGAATTGTTTATTAAAACCGACATTTATAGAAATGTATTGAAGTTGTACTACATAATAGATACAATATTTCACCACAACGTCGTCCTTACGTTGCTCTCTATTCCATACTCAAGCTCTCTAATGCGCATTGTGAGCCAAGATATTCTGGGTTTAGGTTTGGCAGAGGAGGCAGATGCGAGGCAAGCGTCAGATGCTGCAGAGAAGAATGACGAGGAGGAAGATGAAGTAAACGATGCGGGAGAAGAAGATGAACAAGATGAAGGCAAAGTGGAAGAAGTGGAAGAAAATGAAAATAAAGTGGAAGAAGATGTAGGAAAATTGGAAGAAGTGAAAGATGAAGTGGTTGCTGATGAAAATCATCCTGAGGTATAGGATTTTAAATTACGTGAGGTGTGGGATTTTAATATTCCAGTGGTAGGGAAGAATCACGACTGTTGTGTATATAGGGGAAAACATATTTTAGCGTTAAACAGAGGAAGAGCTACCCAATTAGCCTTTCACACGCCGCCATTTTTGGGTGGCTTTTCAGCCAAAGTCTGCGAGATAGGTCCACATAACAGCGACTTTTTATAATTTTTTGGACGAATGATGGTAAATTTGCTTTGTAAATGGTTAGTTTATTTTGAAAAATTGCTTTTCACACTGTTTTAATTGTCTGCATTGGTTAACGAGAATTAGATGCCACCCAAAAATGGCGGATATTCGTCATCGTGAGAAAGGCTAATTCACTCGTTATCTATACTTTAAATGCTCGCTTGTCTTTTCTCCATTCTGGTCGTAAATACCTACCCAATATTGACAAATGTTTATAACATAATCAACCCGTTGTGTGCTCGCGTTATCAGAACCGTAACGCAGGCTACCAGGCATACGAAATTGGGGGTAGGTATTTTTCGAGTTAAGCCCTTCGAGTTAAGCCTTTTTCGAGTTAAGCCCCTGCCACGCCCTTTTTCGCCGAGGGCTTAACTCGAAGTCAGTTAACGATTTAAGCATTCGAGTTAAGCCTCGACATTTGGTGGACGTAAACAAGTGACGCGTGTACATATTGGCAAATATATGTAAGGAGGGAGAATGTAAAATTTCAGCAATTTTAAGAAATGTATTTTACTTAGATCTCTGTTGCTTTTGCCTACAGTTTTATACAGACAATGACATCGTGAAACGAGAGAGTTTAATAAGGATTTGAAAACAACAGCTCATTCAGGGCGGCAATTACGGCTTTAAAAACTAAATAATATATTATTTAGCCCTTATTGAGCTCTCTCGTTTCACGATGTCATTGTCTGTATAAAACTGTAGGCAAAGCAACAGAGATCTAAGTAAAATATATTTCTTAAAATTGCTGAAATTTTACATTCTCCCTCCTTACATATATTTGCCAATATTTTTGCGAGTATACACGCGTCACTTGTTTACATCCACCAAATGTCGGGGCTTAACTCGAATGCTTAAATCGTTAATTGACTTCGAGTTAAGCCCCGGCGAAAAAGGGCGTGGCAGGGGCTCAACTCGAAAAGGGCTTAACTCGGAGGGCTTAACTCGAAAAATACCTACCCCGCGAAATTGATAACAAGTATGCTGATTACATCTATAAGGCTACGGATCGAGAGCGATTCTACTACCTGAAAAATACAAGTAAAACTTAATTTGACGTTTGGAGCGAAGGGTCTTCGTCGGGATGTTACCCACAGTGCTTCACTAACTTGTCCACTAAAGCCCTGGGCAAACTAGGAAACATTGTTGCGGAAACATTGTTTCCTGCCAATGTTTCGCCATGTTTCCCAGAGTGGGCAAACACTAGGAAACATTAGTGAGAAACATAGGGAAACATCGAATGTTTCTGAATTTGCTAGGAAACATTTTTGCTTCCCAGGAAGCAAATTTTGTGTCCGCAACATTGTTTCCACGGGTGGGCAAACAGGGAAACATTTGAGGAAACATCGAGAATCACAAATGTTTCCGCAACAATGTTTCCTAGTTTGTCTACTTAACTTCCCGACGAAATTCGAAATGTCGAAGTTTTACTTGTATTTTTCACAGCTTTCTGGTGTTATTGTCACTACCTACGCTGATACAGACCGCTCGAGTTTTGATTACATCTGTTATGGTTACGATTGCTTGCCAAAGCGAGTGTTTATTGGCCGTTGTTTGTGTACTAGGTAATAAAGTTGATGAACGCAGCCATGAAAGATGCGGAACACCGTGACGCGGAAATCACTGCAGATGAATATGTTGATGTTGTTGAGGAAGCCATCCAAGCACGTTTGAAAGAAATCGAGGAGGCCAAGGTGAAGGGACAAAGGTAATATGGCGAGTTTACACCGAAACGACCCCTACAAATCTCGACACCTACAAATGGTGAACATTCCAATGATGATAGTGATATATGTTATGTAGTTCCTCAGTTCACTGAAGCCAGGGGCTCATTAAACTTGTTAAAGAATCAACAACAAGACACTTGTAACAATCGTAAACCTTACCCTAAACCTTACCCTAACATTAGCCCTAAACTGAAGCAACTTCTGTTTAAATTTGGAACTGTCTCAAAAACCGGTGCAGCGCTCTAACTAACTGAACTACAGAGACCCTGTTAAGCTCTAACCGCAAGTTCATGTAAGTCCATTGAACTAAAAATAACTGGAACGCTACGTTCAGTAAACTGCGCATGCAAATTTTGAAGCCAAAATTTGACTCCCATGAAGCCAAATGAAGCCAGTTTTGACTCCCAGACACGCACTTCCACGCGTGTTTCTACTGCGCGATTTATTCGCGAGACAATACAGGGGGCGCTTGAAGCATGCCGTTTTGAACGTTTTCATGGCAGGATGCAAATCGAAAGGGAAACGGGCCTTTTCAGTTTAAAACGGGCCTTTTAAAGCCTGTGTACGAGTTTTTATAATTTAGCTTCAAACTTCCGCTTGAACGTAGCGTTCCAGTTATTTTTAGTTCAATGTGTAAGTCAGCCAGGGCAGCGCACTAACCACATCTGTAGAAGCATATGCTGCACAGTAGTGGTATCTGAAATCCAGTTGTAAGCTTGTTTGAATTTATTGTGTAGGCTTGGTGGCTACGTTTTGGATAACTTTCCATTCACACGGGAACAGTTCACATTGCTGATAGAACGAGCCTTGATACCAGATTCCGTGATATGTTTGAAAGATGATTCCGACCACGGCTCATTCCTCGCTAAACGTTGGACTGAGCTACGTCGAGCTGAGGAGAATTTGCCTGGCATACAAGAGATTGACGATAAAACTGAGGAAGGTGAAGAAACAGAGAAAGATGGTAAGTCATTGGATCCGTAAGTACAGATTTTCGTGGTGGATACCAGATTTCAAGTTTCTTGTATCCGCCCACGGGACAGTGCCGAAGATTTCAAATCATGTTGCAGGAATGAATTTCCAGTCTTGGAGTTGAAGGCACCTTAACTAACCACTGTGCCACCAACACACAAATACCGCTATATTCGTAATGTTTGGGCGTTTTTAAAGTGCATATAAGCTGTAGTGTAACTTATTTTTCAGTTTCTTGTTTTTATCGTTTGTTCAATTTGTTTTATTATGTAAATGAGTGTGAATATGTCCGCTAATTTATGACGTCACTTTGGTTGCGAGCTCAACTTACACTGGTTATAAATCTATTAACTCTAAAAACTGTATATATCAGTTCACGTTTTTCTCCAGTGTTTCATCACATTTACCAGTGAGTGAAGTTTGAAATTATCATCTTGGATGATAGCAGTGATATTCAACCAAATTAAAGAGCTTGCAACCAAAGTTACGTCATGAATTAGCGGACATATTCACACTCATTTACATATCAAACAAAACTGAAATATCTTGGGAACAAACCATAAAAACAAGAAACTGAAAAATAAGTTACACTACAGCTTAAAGAGTTCTTTTATTTAAGTAAATAAACAATTTCATGTCATATGCACTTTAAGGAGTAAAATTTATCCCTTAGTATTATTATTTCCTGCAGAACCATCAAAGGAGGCAACACACGAACAGGAAACTGAGAGTACTACAGAACCTCCAAAAAGCACGAGCGGAACCAAGAATGCAAACGATACAGACGAATACCAAGTTCTCAAAGTAACATTTGATAACAACTGGCAACAACTTCAAGCTATTATCAAAGGAACGAATAATCTTGAACCTATTACCATTCACTGTGATAAAGACATTGATGGTATCACTGATGAAGCTATAAAGGCAATTGAAGGTACTTTGATATGAGTGTACTCAATTTTGATTTTATAAACCAGAGGTCAGTTGTATACGAAAGCCAGGTAACACTTTCCAGTAGTTTTTTTCAATAGTGCAATGAACTTTAATCTGGGTTTTAAGTACTTAAAACCCAGATTGAACTTTAGTATTTATGAATTCAAGTTTCTTTGTATTAATTGTGAGGTCCATATTCGCAGTTTTACAGCTTTTGAAGCAATTTCACAACAGTTGAAAAAATCACTATCGGGTGGATAGCGCTATCCGGCCTTTGTATAACCAGCGCTAAATCATCGTTGTTCTCTAGAGGCGTTCATCTACCATCCCTGGGAGTATACTGGTATGGATGAAGACGAGGAAGAGGAAGATGCCGAGGAAGATGAAGAGATGGATGATGAAGAAGATGAGAATGATGTGTTTAATAAAGATCTGGGAAAGAAACAGTTTGGAGATACTAAACATTATTGTCCTGTCATGTTGAAAGAGAAAGGTACGTAGAGTACCAAACAATGAGACAAAATTTGGGGTCAATTAGCCTTTCTCACGCTGGACTTATCCGCCATTTGTGAGGTGCGAAATGCGACTTTTTATCACTGTAGTTGTATGTACACTGTTACAATTTTGAAAAGTCGCTTTTCACTTTGCTTTAATCGTCTAGATTCTTTGACGAGGGAAGACAGTACCCCAAAAATGGCGAATATTTGGCCGCATGAGAAAAACTAATTTCCCTGTTAACAACTCCCATGTACAGTGTGTATCAAAATAATTCGAATCCAAATTTGACAGACTGCTGTTTATAAAATACTAAAGTAAACCATATAATTTTTATATGGCAATAAAGAATAGCCTATTAGGTTTCCGATTATATCGTTCTTATATCAATAAGATCAAAAATGACCAAGAAATCAAATTTTTCCGCCGATGGGAATTCGAAGTGAGACGTACAAACAAAAGATAATGCAAATTTAATTAATCAGCAAACTGTTATGTAGCAAAATTTACATAAATTCGTGTTCATTTAAAGAGATTTAAGCTCCTATGCCTTCAACATGTTGAACGAGAAGAAATTCGCGTTAAATTTGCATTTTAGTTTTCAGTGATGATTAGCATTTCAAAGCCTTTGAAACTTTGAAAGAAAAAATGTCCAATTCCCATCGGCGGAAAATTGTGATTTTTATGGACTTTTTTTGTCAAAGCAATACTCCTTCATTTTCCAACTAAATGACGCGTACAGCATGTCATTTGAAAGGTAAATAAATTAACTTAACAATGGTGTAAAAACCAACCGAATTTGTCAAATATATTCTGCGTTATTACACGCCAAATTTGGATTCGAATTATTTTGATACACACTGTACATCCTATTCGTTACCCTAATCCAACCTGTTATTATTATTAGGTGTATTGTGGCCAGGAATGGCGGAATGTGCAGCGAAACACCGTGAGAGGGTGTATTTCTTTTCGAGTATTGAGTGTAGGCGACAGTTCCTCGATGATCCCACACAGTATCTTCCTGTTCATAGACCTCTCAAGGTAAACTGGAATATTTCACCTTTGTATATTGAGCTAGGCTTGCATACAAGAATAATAAGTATATCTAAACTATCTGATGAGCTAACTTCCTGAAGGGTCTTGGTTCTCATTGTACCAAAGTTGTTTCGTTCTAATTGTTTGCAATCGCTTGTAGCCTCCACCAACACGCCTCTTCATCATTGGTTCAAAAGGTTCTGGTAAAACCTTGTATGGTAGATATCTTGCTGAGAAATTGGGTGTGTTTCATATTGACTTTCAAGAAAGACTTCAGGAGTTGATCATTGCCAAGACTAAGAAACGTGTTGGACCTGATTATGAAGATGAAGAAGACGAGAATGCGGGTCAAGATGATGAAAGTAAGTGATTATGCATTTGGGAGTGTTGGTAGCAAGAATTTTGTATACATCATATACTTGTGCCTTTATCAGGACGATAACAGGGTGACATAAAAACGTATGTGTCACTGATATCGTTTTCTAGGCATGCACTGATATCTTTTTTGTCTCTGATTTCGCTTTTTGTCCTGCTATTTTAATGATTGTTCCATTGGGGCAAATTTATATTCAGTAACAAATTCTGACCCTAATTAAGGCACAATTATATAATAAACAGGTTATGATATGAGGGGCGAGGCGATATCAGTTTTATTGCTTTCAGGATAATATCATGAATATCCCCCGTTCTCTGCACTCACCGGTGACAACTATGAAATGCGCTCTTCCCAAACTTTAAATAACTTAAATTGGCCGACACTAGGAACAAAAATGTTGTCTAATGTTTGTAAAGTATTACACAAATTAGGCCCATCTTATCTTTTACAGCCATTTAATCGAGCGAATTTAATTCACAGTCATTGTACACGAGGTCATGACTACAATTTTGTTATCCCTAAACCAAACACCATTTTTTTGAAAAATGGTCTCGAATATAATGGAGCAGTGGTATGGAATTCAATACCAATTGAAACTAGGAATTCCACTTCCCTAAAATATTCAAAAATAAACTGTAGAATTAATTTACGTGGTGTTTCCACAAACAAAACTATTAGAATTAATTTGTTTTGTATTTTGCTTTAATTTCTCATTCTCTTTGTAAATATTGTAAATAATTCAAATGTCACGGCGCCTGGGAAGATCATCTTATTTTCGATGACAGGCCTCCGTGCCTAAATAAAGTTCACTATTCACTATTTATGATATCGTCCCTCAAGCGATAAAACTGATATCGCCTCTCATATGATAACCTATACATGTCACTCTAAGACTTCTTTGGGCAAATCCATCGTTTGTTAGTTCGCCCATTCGTAGCGAGAACTGCTCGTTTTATTTCCAGCGGGAGATGGTGAAGGAGATAATAAAGAGGATGAAAATAAAGAGGATGAAGATAAAGAAGAGGAAGATATGAATTTGACAGAAGAGGAAGAAATTATATATGTCAGTCTCACTGAAGGAGAACATTTACAACGAGATACTGTCGAAAATATATTGAGTCAATGGTGGAATGAAGAACCGTACAGGTACAGAATTGTACTTCGTTTTCAACCTGTGTGTATGTAGGTTTGGCGTAAAAAAAAATACCTGTGGTTCCGGTTCCCGACCGACCCTATTTTTTTCTGCCGACCCTATTATTTTTTCAACGCGATTGACCGTGCGACCCTATTTTCTCCAGGTGGTTGCGGGCTGCTCATACAGCGTGCCAAAATGGCGTATGTTGTCACACTATAAATTATTGAACCAAATTGCCTAAATTCGTCCATAGGAAATACACATCTCTAGTTAATATTGATGTCGGGACTCTACTGCAAATCGCCCAGCAAAAAAACGCCAAAACCATGAAAAAAAATATTCAAAAAAATTTTATTTCCGACCTACCGACCCTAATTTTTTCACGATACGAAACCGGAACCACAGGTATTTTTTTACGCCTTTTATGATTGGATAAAACGAGGATCACGCAACCTCAGCTAACTGTTCTTAATGCTTTCTCAACACTATCATGTATTCTATTTAAGTTAAAACATAGTTGGAACACTCTTCAAACCTTTATTTTGTTAATCTAGAGCTTGAAGTGTTCCCCGTAACAATGCGTGACTGCCAACTTTTATCAACTCTCATCCTCGTCTGACGAGGCGTTACTTAGAACTATCGTGCAGCAAATGCTAATGAACTGGCAGTTATCTTAGTCATGTGAATTTTGTTTGGATTTGGTAGTCGTTTGCTTAGTGGCAAACAAATAAATAAAAGAGATATATTTCAATCTTATTACTTCTAAAAATTCAAAAGTTGCCCCGTTATTTATCTATTTGGTCTTCAAATAGTACAGGAATTAATTAACAATATTTTTTCTCGCACTGATAACTATCATCTGCTACACAATCGTTCTTTTTGAAACCTTCTTTCGACTTCTAAATTCTAATTATCAATTATTTTTCTTAATTAGATCTCGTGGTTTTGTTCTCGAAGGATTTCCACGTAATGATGATGAGAGTCGTGTGTTGTCAATGTCAGGTCTGTTTCCTGATGCCGCTATATTACTTGGTGTTGAGGATACAGACATCGTTGATAGGTTACTACCAGGGAAACTGGAGAGATGGAAAGTGAAACGGGATAAACGTCTTGCTGAGAAAGCCAAGCAGAAAGCGATAACCTCGAAAGCCAAGGTAACTGTTCACATAACACTTTAACTTAATCTTCTTCTACATGTCGGGTCTTTCCCTTTCTACCTCAATCCTTCTAATATATTAATATACAATTACTTTATGGTTTCCGTGTTTGGATGGCCTGATCCAAACACGCGGGAATGTTGCGAGAGTTAAGAAAAGCGCGCGAAAGCACGAGCCGAAATTTTATAAAATAACAACAACACGATAGTCTTCCGTGTTTGGATGGCCTGATCCAAACACGGGTTTCGACCAATCAGAGCACGCGTTATATACATGTTATTTTATAAACATTGTTGTAAATAAGCTAAATATTCCATTTTCAGTTATTACCATTTTCTTTATCATGTTTCGCTTCGCTTGGATAATCCTTCTTTCCGCCCACATGACAGATGCTCTCTCTCTGCGTTGTATATATATGTGTTGTAAAGTATTGTATTTCATTCTGTCTGAAGATGACTTTGAAATAAAGTCGAAAATTTACAGTCTCAAACTGCGTCTTGTTTTGAATTATATATTGAATTCTCAAGATGTCCAGTATTTTCGGAATTTGTTTCTTACTTTATATATAAATATAGTATCAGAGAAGTCTTGTATAGGTGGGATTGACTGAATACAATCACGCAGCAGTTTGACTGAATACAGGGATGGTATGACCTCTCCCCGTCGACAACTTTTTAGGCAAAAAAAAATTTCCGGACGAGTACGTTGCAATTGGTTTCCAGTGACTTTACCCGTCTATCAACTTGTTCCACTACTGCAAAATCTTGCTTGACTACAGTATTTGAATTGTAATTGTTGTTCACAGTTCGCCTATCATCATGTTATTACTCAAATTACTGAATCTCATTTTGTCTCTAATAATTTTTTGCTTTATCATGAAAAATAGCGGGGTGCGCACCCCCGCACCCCTCCAGTAAATCCATCCCTGACTGAATACAATCACGCAGCATGGTTGTTAATCCAGCTTGTCGACCAGCAGTTGAGAAAATAGTTCTTTTATTAATTATTATATATGTAGCATAGTTGTTTTACGTTAGCAATAAACAGAAATGAGACATGTGGTTAGATATGCCGCCATTTTTGGTGTACTGCCTTTTCCAAATCTGAGATTGTACGCAGTGAGTAAGGGATTTGTAGTTAATTTACAGTTAAATATTTGACAAAAATGTTTTCACATGGCTTTGATTTTTCACGTCGTTTTCAAAAAAGTACCCCAAAAATGGCGGATTTGGCCTTCGTAAAGGCTAATTATCCTACTCTAATTAGTGTCAAAATGTTTGGAAATTTTATAACCACCATACTGAAACCCACCAATTGATTTTGTAAAAAAGTTTAAGACAATTTCTTCTTTCTCCATGTTCCGTAGGAGGAAGCAAGAGCTACACGCAAAGATGAACTTCTACTTGAGATTGCAGAACGTAAAGCTGAGAAAAGGGTAAGTCCATAAAAATGTGCTACCCTAAAGCGTACCATGAAACTTGTACTGGGAGCTGCAGACATCCTAACCACATGCTGTTACTATTGTTCCCAGTAACCTGCGAAACGACCGTTTTTACGAAGGACATATTTGTATACCTCGTGATCACAATTCATTGCAAGCGGCGTGTGAGAAACTGCAAGTTTCAGTTTGACAGTTCTGACAGTTAAATTAATTTTAAATCAAAACTACGCACCTGATTGTCCTTCGTAATTGACAAAACTGCCAATGACAAACCGCCTAAAAAACGGTCGTTTCGCAGTTTACTGGGAACAATAGTACTTCTGATCCAAGGACTGGCTTTAGTCTTTACGGTGCGCACTCCCTTTGTCAATGGGGTGTAATTGGAATGGTAATCTACTCTTGAAATCAAATTTGTGGTGGCACTATCAAATGTAATGGCTATTTTTCGCTCTTTGTGCCCCTCTGACCACCAAGAAAATCGTATTTCCCAATCTTTTTCTGACAAACCAGGAGTTAAGATCCTCGTTCATACTACCAGGTCTGGCTATGATCCTGCTGGAAGCTGTTGCTCAAGAACACTACCTTGCCCCTGAGTGATCACTCTTGTCTTGTTTCGCTCAATGAACAGCGAACATGCACATCATCTTCCTATCTAGTCAAGAAAATACTTCAATATCCAAATACCAGTACACCTTTACATATGTTGTAACCGTTGTATTTAGGCTCGTATGGAAGAGAACGGCGACGAAGGTGATGATGATGACGAGGACGAGGATGACATGGATGAAACAGACATTGACGCCATCTTGGATGGAGAGTTTGAAGAAGATGAAGATCTTGATGACGAAGAAGAAGAGACCGAGGAGGATGCTGCAGATCGTTTGAGAATTGAGATCACTAATCGTTTTGATGATGATAATGCTAGACTTGGTGTAGTACAGGTATGTCACTGTTGTCATTGACTGATTATCTGAGAGTTGAGATCAGTGATCGTTTTGATGATGATAATGCTAGGCTTGGTGTAGTATAGGTATGTCACTGTTGTCATTGACTGATTATCTGAGAGTTGAGATCAGTGATCGTTTTGATGATGATAATGCTAGGCTTGGTGTAGTATAGGTATGTCACTGTTGTCATTGACTGATTATCTGAGAGTTGAGATCACTGATCGTTTTGATGATGATAATGCTAGGCTTGGTGTAGTATAGGTATGTCACTGTTGTCATTGACTGATTATCTGAGAATTGAGATCACTGATCGTTTTGATGATGATAATGCTAGACTTGGTGTAGTACAGGTATGTCACTGTTGTCATTGACTGATTATCTGAGAGTTGAGATCACTGATCGTTTTGATGAAGATAATGCTGGGCTTGGTGTAGTATAGGTATGTTGTCATTGACTGATTATCTGAGAGTTGAGATCACTGATCGTTTTGATGATGATAATGCTAGGCTTGGTGTAGTACAGGTATGTCACTGTTGTCATTGACTGATTATCTGAGAGTTGAGATCACTGATCGTTTTGATGAAGATAATGCTGGGCTTGGTGTAGTATAGGTATGTCACTGTTGTCATTGACTGATTATCTGAGAGTTGAGATCACTGATCGTTTTGATGATGATAATGCTAGGCTTGGTGTAGTACAGGTATGTCACTGTTGTCATTGACTGATTATCTGAGAGTTGAGATCACTGATCGTTTTGATGATGATAATGCTAGACTTGGTGTAGTACAGGTATGTCACTGTTGTCATTGACTGATTATCTGAGAGTTGAGATCACTGATCGTTTTGATGAAGATAATGCTAGACTTGGTGTAGTACAGGTATGTCACTGTTGTCATTGACTGATTATCTGAGAGTTGAGATCACTGATCATTTTGATGATGATAATGCTAAACTTGGTGTAGTACAGGTATGTCACTGTTGTCATTGACTGATTATCTGAGAGTTGAGATTACAAAGTATAAGTTGCTGCTGATCTTCATAGAGTTTACATTGCAGGTTGTTTTGATTAGGATAATGCTAGGTTGGCTGTGTAGTGCAGGTATATGACTGTCAATGACTGACTGATTATCTGTCAGTTGACATAACTGAGGAAGGTGCTGTTGATCGTCTTAGAGTAGAGATTGTTTTGATTAAGATAATGCTGGGCTGGCTGTGTAGTGCAGACATATGACTGTAGTCAGTAACGGACTGACTAACTCACCTACCGGCTAACTGACTTTATCTGCATGTTTTTCAGGATTCACTGGAGGAAATTCTTATACCTCGAGTTGAGATTGATGCTAGTCGTAAACCTCGGATAGTTCGATATTGTATAGACGAAGCACTTAAACCAGTTGTAGACTTTCGTGAAGCTTTATTCTCGCGTTGTTATTCTCTATCACCTGGACTGGCTCATCGTATGCTCATTCAAGGGTACAAGTTTCCAAGTAGATTTGGAAAATGGTGTCCTGTTGAGGTACTGCTTCTAAATTGTTTTAATATAAAATTTATATAAAAATTCAGTAGTTACAAAAGGTTTTATGTAGACGGTATTTCGGGCTCAAAACTTTCCTGCACGAAAACCTTTAATAGTGTGTTCCGTCAAGCGATATGCCAAAAATTTATAATGATGTTGGAAAGTTTAGTAAGCATTGCGAGGCAACAGATGATAATCAACTTATTATGTTTTATATAAAAGCAAGCAAATCAAATCCTACATTTCCGAGTTAATTTATTTCTCAAAAATAAGACTACTACATATAATAATAATAATAATCTGAGTATTTAAATATAGCGCTTAAATCTATGAAGTAATATTCTAAAGCGCTTTACAATGGTAAACTTACAATAATAACTAAACTGACTCTATTCTAATGTTATTTTCTTAAGTCTGATATACACTATCAAATCACTCTGTGATCACAGTAGGAGTTTTGCATCGGTATAAATTCTATGTTTTGAAGGATTTGTGAGAAATGTTTGAGGGAACTGACTCGGTCTTTAATATTAAGTCAGTTTGCTCAAGCATTTCACGCAAATTCTTCAAAACTTAGAATTTACCGATGCAAAATTCCACTGTGATCACAGAAACGTTGTGGTGTAAACAATGCTTCACTGTGACGAATATCTGCTATATAATGGTGCTCTGTGGAACCTAACTATCATTACCTCAACATATCATTACTGACTCATTCACATACCTCCTAGCTTCTGGAAGGTGATGACATTCAACCTTACTATCCACGTGGTAGCTCCAACTATCCGGTAGTTTACAGACAGTATATCTACTACATGTCATCAGAGAAAGCCAAGTCAGCCTTCATGAGTTGTCCAATGAAATTCTTGAAGCAACCTTCACCTAAACCTATGGTCACTATACAGATGGCTATTATAGGACCACCAAAATCTGGAAAAACTACATGTAAGTATGGATGGGTAAGATGTTATGTATTAGCTAGCCACATTATTCTTCCATATTGATTGGTAAAGTAAGTTAATTTTGTCCATACTAGCTGTGTAATTTCGTATCTCTTTTCCCCAGTGGTGTAGTAAAGCCACGCTCAAACGAGGATGAGAGTTGATGAGAATTGCAACTCTCGTCCGAATGAGCGACCATACCATTACCCAAAATGAGCGTCTCTAATCAAATGCGCATATGACCGTGTTTATATATAAACTCGGTCATATATTCACAACACCATTACCCCAATTGTGTGTCTCCAAGAAAAATCGGTACATAGGCAACACGCAAGGCATGACTGAGACTTTCTCTCTGTAGTGGCCAACAGATTTGCAGCAGAGTATGGCGTGGTTCGTCTCTCTATTGGTGAGGTTATACGACGTCTATTGACAACTCAGCCAAACACAGATCTTGTGAGGCAGATTAATCATCATTTAAGAACTGGATGTACTGTGCCAGATGATTTAGCTGTGCAAGCATTGGATGTTGTGTTGATGGATCCACAGTGTCAAGTAAGAGGGTGAGTAGATTGGTTGATTACAGGGGTGGAAAAAATAGGCGAGCACTGCTCGTAGGAATGTTAAACAGCTGCAGGAAATTCGTTTGAATGAAGATTTGCTATTGAAAATTGAAGGAAACCTTAACACCATGTCTCACTATGGGCGAAACAACATACAGTTGACAGACATTATTCTTGAATTTAAAACCATGGTCAGCTAAGCAGGAAATTTTTGTTTCCAGTTTGTGCTCCCAGGAAAAAAATTATTTTTTCCTGCCCTGTGGTTGAAACACAGTGTATGCTTTAAAAATCTGCTGCACTAAAAACGCACCGTTGCTACCAACTTTCTGATGAAGAGTCTTGATCGCTGTCAAAGTTATCTGCATAAGGCAATGCAAATTTTGGCACGTCAGATTAAACCTTAAAATCTGAAATGCCTTATCTTAGTCCTCCCCTCGGTAGCACAGTAAACTGAAGTTTGATCATCAGTGTATTTCGTCTTGAGATGTAAGGCGGGTTCTTCTGTTTGCACATAGGTTTATTCTTGATGGATTTCCAATGACCAAACACCAGGTTGAGTTAATGACTGAAAGAAGTATTATTCCTGTCAACGTTTTGGAGTTACGTGTTGATGATGACGAAATCTTCAAGAGAGCAACTGAAGACAGAAGATCACCATCTAGGTAGGGAAATATGCAAAATACAGCCTAGACCTAGGTCACCAAACCTGCCAAACCCAGCCGAGTAAAGGTCTTAGGTCTTGGCTCCGTGCAAATGTGTTTGTATGTAATTTTAGCTTTGTTCACATTTTTAAGCAATCTACAGTCGATTTTTTTCGTTCCAAAAGCTTACAATCTGTCCCTATTCCGGTGTTCAAACGAAGTTTGGCATCACTTTATATTCCTTAGTTTGTTCGGAATCATGAGCCTTATTCCATTTATCCAAAAATAGTATTTCTTCGCGTATGTGGTGCACTTATTTTGCACATACTCCTGGGCACCGAACTGTAGTACTGTGCCTAAAGGCTGATTTACACCATCAAAGTCTCTGTGATCACAGTAGGTAAATTCTATGTTTTGGAGGATTTCTAAGAAATGTTTGAGGGAACTGACTCAGTGAGTCAGTTTCTTACAAATCCTTCAATGTTTAGAATTTACCTATTCCAAATTCCTACTGTGATCACAGAAACTTTGATAGTGTAAATCAGCCTTCCGCTTTCATCCCCCGAAGAGGCATGCAGAACTCATGGATGCAACCATATTGTCCCTCTCTGGCTATATTCAGGCTTAATTAAAGCTTTAATCCCATTTGTGTAGAACATACCCAGTACATGATAGCCACACGATCATTTCCATACGCCTGGCTTGCTGGAAGAGAGAGGTTGAAGCCGTAAGAGCGTGGTATAAACAGGTTCAAAGAAACTGGTTTGGTATTGATGGTACGAGATCGAAGTGGTTGATATGGAAGACTGCATTGGACCATGCGAAACATAATATACAGGACATTCAAGTCTACTTGGTCAGAATCGCTGAAGGTACGTTGGAATATGGTTTATGCAGTCTGGTAAGTTGTCGTGTCCGTTGTTAGTTTGTGCCTACAGCCAATTTTCGTCTATGTCTTTTCTAAAAGGTCAGTCTTTTTGTTTACTTTATGGGTCCAGTTATGCATAATACAGTCGTTGTTTTCCGTCGTAAGATTCTTATTTCAGTACTTTCGTATATATAGTCTCTCTTCCTTAGATTTCAGTTTTGTTGAAGGGTGCTATCGTATTCTCACACAAAACAGCTTGTTTAAATCAATCTTCATTACACAGGAAGAGCAGCTTCTATTGCCAACATGTGTGTATCTCCGAACGAATTCAGTGCAAGACTGGGAGATTTTGGCGAATACTGTCCAGTCAGCTTGGCAGACTATGGCCAGTTGGTGGACTGTTCTGGTAACGCTTCCCTCGAGTTCGCTGCCGAGTTTCGTGGACGTTACTACAAGATGGAAACGTCTAAGGAGTTAGAGATGTTTTTAGACAACCCAACCGCATACGTGCCGCCACTAGCACCCCGTGCACTGCCCCCTCCTGATAAGCTACCAAAACGAAGGACAGCTACGGAAATGAAGGAGAACTTCCCATGTCAAATTGAACTGCAGGGATACTGTCCTGTTACTTATCTTGATGGAAAGAAGAGGTAAGGCCCTGGAGGTGCAGTCTCTGTAGGTGTTCGTGATATAGTTCTTAGTTTCACAGTTTCACGATAGAGTTGTCTGGTTATTTCTTCTCATGCAAGAAGAATACTTCCCGCAGCCTGACTCCACCAAACATCCCAGGTATTCTCTGTCTACTCCGCTTTCCTCCTTGATCAGTAAGGAATTGCTCGTCCTCGGTGGATATCGGGAGAATAGTTTAGAAATGATAGAGCTATCCAGTATAAGTAAAGTTAAGTTTAAATTGTGTTCCTTATATGTAAATATCATATTTTGTAGATACGAGTTTATTGTACCTGGTGATCCAGAATTAGTAGCGGAATATCGTGGTTCGTTCTATACATTCCAATCAGAGAAGAAACTTGACGCATTCATGAGGTTTGTTTGCATTTGTGTTTGAAAAAAAGGACAGTCGTTACCAAACACCACAGGTTTTCTCTAGACACTCCAGTTTCTTCCTCTGGTAACACGGGACCAATACAAGGTGGCTTTTCAGTGTTGAAACGCTGTGCAGAACAGCCCAGGATTATACAGTTTGGATTATACAGTTTGGATTATACAAAAGCCCGCGCATTGTATCTTGCAACAACGCTTTATTAGGCCACATAAAATAAATTCCTTGATTCTCATCACCGCCCGACTGTATTTTAAGAGCCGCGTGAAAATATTTTATATTTTGTTATTCAATATAAATGCACCGCCCGACAAAATATTTCAAGACAGTTAAGTTTTTTATATTTTATATTGGGTTTTTAGTGCCATTTTAAACTGCCAATTTCAAACAAATAGAACCTTGAAAGAAATTTCATTGCATTTTAAAGGAACTTCGCATTCAGTTCAAGGGTTCACTCATTGTTCGTGGAGAAATATGTTTATTTCGGTTTGTGACACTTTGGAAATCACAGAAATATTAAATGTTAGGAATTATCTTTTTACTTTTATTAATATATAAATTATATAAAATATAAAATATAAACCTCCCGCCTCTTCGACATTTTCAAAGTGTAGTGATGAGAAACAAGGAATTTATTTGATGTGGCCTTAAGGCTGTTGGTCCAACATCATCAAACATTATTGGATGAAACATTGTTGGCCTCGTTTGATGAACACTACGTTGGGTAATGTTGGATGGGGTTTAACTATGTTTGAAAACTCAGTAATTCATATTGAGGGAAAGATTACCAAGTCTACCGTATCGGTGATTTTGAATAATTTACGTAAACTTTAGCTTTGATTTTCTCGACTTAGACAAAGTTTATTTTTAAAATTTCTTCGCCAATGAACTCATCAGATGGGTCGGTTTTTAAGCCATTTAAAATACTCGCAGTCTGTGCACTCGTGTTTTATATCTGATAAAGCACTCCTGTTCGTGTTTTATCTATTACTTCAAATTTCCATCAAACATTGTGCAACATCCTCCAACTTCGACCAATGAACGGAGGTTAACTATTCCCTTCTATTTCAATCCAGAACTCCTGAAGTATACCATGGTTTGACCCTCCCTCGTAAACTGCCACCCAGAAGCACACCGTTGGCCATTCATCAACTGCCAATGCTGGGATTCTTGGAACAGACGGTATCTGAAGGCGTTGTAAAGGCGTTAACATCTGTGGGTTGTTTCAAGCCCAAGTATCCATTCTTAACTGCAAAACGCTCTGCCTTACTGTATGTCGCTTATCATTTGAAAGGTATGGGAGGCAATATTGATATTAGAAGACGTCTTTAACCGTTCAATGACTGAGACGATAAATACGGGAAGTTAGACAGTCAGTCCGAATAAAGAATTAACATCGTCTATTAATTGTCTTAGACGTTTAATTCATCTAGTATAAATACGAGACTATTACACTTGGACGCACTTAGCAAGGAAACACTGTAGATGGTTGCCAAATCAAAATATTTTCTATTTTCTTGGTTTCATTCTACACTTGTTTCCAACTCTTCATCTCGTATTTATATTAGTCGCACTTAATACAAGACGTTTACTGGCATCACGCCCTTCATACAAGCAGCATCGGGCACTCCTGATATAAGTAGGACCACTTTGGGTGTAAATGCATGTATCCAATACACCCTTCTGGAAAGCACTTAACCTCGTTTATGCGATTGAGACAGTGGTTTTAGAGCCTTTTGTCTTGTTTCTGATGACATAATTATAAGCAGGTCACTTTTATATTCAGGCATGATCTGGTAGGGGAGGGAGGGGGTGCTCTGTTAGCTCTGGTGCCGAGTTGTGTCGATCATGTGTGCCGCCAACCCACCCACCCATCAACTTGCTTGACTTGCAAAGTCTTGCTTGACTACTGTATTTGAATTGTAATTGTTCTTCACAGTTTGCTTATCATCATGTTATTACTCAAATTTCTGTATCTCATTTTGTCCCCAGTTTATCCATCCCTGTTTATATTCACTAGTCTAATGTAACTGTGTATGATTCCGTAAATGTGTCACCTGTAACAAGACAAAAGTCTCTAATTCCAAAATTTCAATCACGAAAACGAGGCTCTATAAGCAAGACTGAACACTTTCTGGGACCTCTGCGACCAAGGTTCGATTTCTACTGCATGTAGTTGTCTGTTTATAATTTCATCTCAGTTGTGTGTGAGTGCCTCCCTTTTGACTCTTTCAATATGTTAGGTTTCCTCGCAGAGGTTTCCTCGGGATTCCTCCTGAAGAACCGTAGCCCCAAATTACGTACTACAGTTAAAATTATGGTGTAATAACTTATAAAAGTGCACATTTCGTTTTAGCTTTCAATCCAAAGAGCAGCGAGTACGTACGTACGAAGTACAAGAGAAAATTAAAGAAATTTGAAGAGAGATGTAGCTTGATCACATACCTTGGGCGAAATATGTCCAATCGCTACCGAGAACCATTCCAAAGACCTTTTGATTTTGATGTGAAAATGAAAAATTTTCTTGAGCTAAAAGTCTTGAGACCGACTGCTTAAGAGTTGTATATAGTAGTGTTTTGTTTATATAAGTCCTGTACAGCTGAATATATATGCTATTTTGTTAAGGATGAAAAATGAAAATCAAGGTATTGTACTTGTTGAATGTTGTGCTATTTTGTGAACTATTTAACTAAAGTATTATTAGTTGATGTTTGTTTACACATTGATAGTAATTGCATTATGGTAGTACAAGTTGAATTTATTTAGAGAAAAACCCAACCTCTACATGTAGATGGACTCTACTGGTCACATAATTTCATATTAAGGCAGATCCAGGTGGCATCATCCCACCTAATAAAACTTTGAGGAGCTTTTTCAGGTGAATGAAGTTATGAAGAAGTTTACACCATCACACATTTTGAAGAAACTGTTGAAAGAAACTTTGAGAGTTTAAACCAGCTTGTTTTTGTGGAATAATCACAGACAAATAGCTACAGTATATACCCTTTTGGTAAGAGCAGCATTGGATATAACTTGGAACAAGATATGTTGTTGTTCCCAATCTAATGTTTAATAGAAGAAAAACTTGCAAGAACAAATCCAGAGGTAAGATTACTTTCTTACTACTTGATATTCTAAAACATGTACAGTAAATAAAATCTGATTTGCATTGATCTTATTTTCCAAATATGTACAGCATACTATTGTACAGTAATAAAATGATAAATTTATGTCTCTAGCTTTTTTTATCTTCTTGATATCGCTGACTGTTTTGAGCATAAATGTTCTGCTGAGTGTCATTTTTTAGGTTCTTTTTCACATTGTACACAACTAACATGGACCCAAATCCACAGAATGCCACCAAGAAGAGGTTGACTGCAATGCGACGCTTTGAATCTGCTTTCTCCATCACTGCATAACTAGAAGAAAAGCATTATGCTGGTCAAAGTAGGATGCAGGGGTGGCAAAAATAGGCGAGCACACAAGCACTGCTTGCAGGAAATGTTAAGCAGAGCTCTGCAGGAAATTCGTTTGAATGAAGATTTGCTATTGAAAGTTTGGAGGAAACCTTAACACCCACATCCCACTATGGGCGCAACAACATATGGGTTGTCAGACATTCCTTTAATTGAAAACCATGGTCAACTGAACACTATATATGTTTATGCACATGCAGATTTAGCACAAAAATACTCTGTTGGTCTGCAGAAAATTTTTGTCTCCAGGTTGTGCTACCGGGACGGAAATTCTTTTTTTCTGCCCTGGTATGATGCACCAATTAAGATATGAGTTCAGACAGTACTGTCTAAACTTTTTGACTGATTGAGTGATTGACAAAAATGCCATGTCAGGGTGAGTCTTCCATAATCTTTGATCACATTCTTATATATATTTAACCCCTTAAGTTGCATTGCACCCTACTGCATTCTATTTTATTGTTTTGCTCTGTGTAACACCAGATGGATTTACTCAACATTGGGAGAGCACTGGCATACCATTTATAATCCAGTGCAAAACCATGCTTCCTATTAAAAGTATATTTTGGCTAATTGGAACACCTTTTGCCGGTCTTTGATAATGGGCAACTGATGATTTCCCAATGTATTTTATCAATTTTAGGCTCATTGCTTGAAGATATGTGGTAATTATCTCACCTGACTTCATTTGGAATTTCACCCTTGATGTTTCCAAACAACTTCAAGGTAACTTTATCCACATATGATAGATGATGTTGTGGTAATGTTGAACGTCTCTCACTTGTTTCCTCTGTCAAAAAGTGATGTTTTACTGTTTAAATAACTGTAGAGTAATTTACCACAGTTTTGTAGCACATACAGTATGTTGCATGGGGTTTTATAGTCTTCTCAAAGGGTAAAATTATCTGGCAATATTTACTCTGTCTAACACCAGATGAATACACGCTTCTGGAAAGTACATCATCTTGGCTATAGAGCCTCGTTTTTGTGATTGAGCAAACTAACGTCATGAACACAAAAACAAGGCTCTATATGGCCAAGGTAATTAATAACATACTTTCCAGAAGGGGGTGTATAGCAAGGGATGCATTGGAGCACATTACCACTTAATAGATTATAATATTTATATTTAATAAGTTGGCATAAAGAATTCAGTATACATTAATCTGAGCCACAGACCCCCCCAATTGGAACCTATATAAAAGGGCTGCTCTTATTTTTAAAAATATAAGGTCAACCTTGCTATAGCTACATCATACCTGTGATGGTAGATTTCTTTTCAAGACTACTGCAATATGCTTTGCTTGATACCAGAGGAGAACATTTTGAATAAACTGGTCTCAACGGCCGACTATTTCTTAGTGTAGACAAAAAAAATCTGGGAACTTTATTTAAGATCATGATCGTATATTATCTGTGGATAAAAATTTCAATGAACAAAATATGAAAATCATACATATATCTTTCGGGTGCAGAAAAATAATTTATATACTCGAATATTTACCTGGTATTAAGTATTAGAGTGGATTTTGAGTATAATTTTGATATTTTAAACTTACCTTTAGTAATATATCTCAACATAAAATTGCGAAAGTCGTACGAGAACAGGACGTTTTATAATGATGTAAACATTGCACGTCACGTCCGATATTACGCAATTTTCGCGGATTTATGCGGGTGAAAAACCCAATTTCTGGGATAGTCGTGCAAGCCTGCATGTATCCGACTTCCTGCGGTGATGACGTTAAGATATATTACGTCATACATAAATCAGGCCCCACCCTTCATTATCAATACTAATTTACTATGCCCCATATGTAGCCAATAGATAGGCCCAATATTGTACTTTATTGAATCACTTTATTATGAATCATCCTTTTTGTTAACTCCAGTAATTGTTATAATGACTATATACACAAAAATATTAGATCATTCCTAATTATAATTATAGTTTTGTTCTGCCTTTGGTACATTGAAACCAAACTGGAAAGGTTTTATACAGTGGAAATTCCCAGCAATATACCATGTACAGTAGCTACTTTAGTCTTTACAAAATTTCATCCCGAATCATCTTTTCCTGTTTGTAACAGTCTTAAAGCTTTCTGTAAGTTATCGATTGCTGTAGGGACATCCTCATATTGCAAAGCACTTGAAGCATATTTGCAATATTTTTGAGCTTTTGTATAGTCCGTAGCTTCCAAACGAACCCCAGATGATGTACGAGGTTTAGGTTTAGGTCGACCTGTGGGATCCGCCTGAAAAAAGATGAATGCACCTGATTAATCACCATCTCAAAAATGCTCAATTTTTGTGTAAAATCAAAATTGTATGTACCTATATAAAAGTTACCCACTTTAGCCCCCTGAGACTTGTGTCATCATGTTTACAGACTTCCTGACTTTAAAAGTGTTTTATGCTGTTTATTTTGTTGAACATATTCACATCCATATTGTAAAACATGTATATTTAAGTTGACAGCTAGACAAAAATGGGGAACTAGTTAAAGGAGGGTTGTATTTTGATTCAAAGCTTTAACAACTTACTGGTGCTGGTTGTCTATTTGTTGCAGGGTGTGATTGAGGTTGTGGTGGGTATTGTGGTGGGTATTGAACTGTTGGTACTGTATGACCTGTTGCCCCTGCCGGAGGATAAACAACAGAGGGAGGAAGGTCTGGCATATTGCTTGGAGGTTGTTCTGGGTAGGGCAGCCCTGTAGCAGGACCACTTGATGTACTTGGCAGTTGAACATCATCGTCTTCTCCACCTACGGGACCTGGCATAGGTGTCTCTCCTTTCTTTAAACAGTTGTTGATGTATGCAGCTTTCCATTTGGAATATTTTCTTTGTGCTATAATCTGCAAGAAAGAATGTAATGTAGCTTGAGAACTATGGAGATCTTGTTATAGTTAGCTGTTAGGTACATGAAATGTTTGCCTAGGGGCAAGAATGTAAATGGTGATGATTGCTATCAAGATGATGGTGGTGATACTGATTATGGTAGTGATGATGGTCGTGGTGGTTATGATGGTGGTACTAATTATGGCCAGGTGATGATAATGATCATGTGATAATATTAACTGGACAAACCTCGTCATTCAGTTCACCAAACACTGTAAGAATATCAAATATTAGAGATGCAGAGTAGAATGACTTGACAACATTCCTGCAGAGAAATATGGAATCTATAGCCCAATATTGTATCATTATGCAAACTATTTATCTATTTCATGCTGTCAACAAATAGATTGTCTTCCACAATCACACACTCCCCTGCTCCTCCATTGTGGAACAAAGTTTGGGATATACTGTAGGACAACATCCTTCTGTTGACAGCACCATTGAAGAATACATACTTGTTGAATCGGCTAGCTCTGTCTTCAGTATCAGCCCATAAGAACAATTGTACTCCTTTATTTTCCAAATGTGCTTGGGCAACCACATCATTCGTAACTGCTTCTTCCTGCGTATGATTTTGCTTGCTCTGTGCAGAGAAAAATTCAGCAATGGGGTCTCTTATTAAATATGCTTAAATTTTTTATCAGATTTTTTCTATCAAATTGTATAAACTGCATTATACCTTTTCTAGCAGATCCATAAGGTTCATTAAAAATGAAACATTATCTTTAGTTTTATTTTTAATACCCACTTGAACTGCGTGAAAGCGACCTATAAAACGAAACACTGTCAAAATCAAAAGTACAGATAATTAAATAAGCTATATGTTTACAAAGTTGGATGGGTTATAGGGTGGGTGTTTACTGTATTATAGAAAATATAGCTTTGTCTCTTACTCCAGTATGCTACAACAGGATCTCGAGTTTCATATTCTTTTGCAAGCTTTAAAAAAGGCTGGATAACTTTTAGACTTGCTGGTACATTGGCAGCCATCTTGCTGTTTGTTTATCATGACGTCATTGTAACTCTACCATATATGTAACGAGGGCGGATGCCGGGGGGGGGGGGGACTTTAATTTGCTGAGTCAAATACGTAGGCAGTGCAAACTTCTTATTAATCATAGTTACAAAATTTGTCTATTTAACGAATTCTATAACTAATTTTAAATTTTGACTAAAAATAGTTTTTGTAGTTTTAATATATGTGTCAAGTCCATTAAAAAACGGACGTAAAAAACTAATCCTAAGCTGGTATGATTACTTTCTTTTCTATACCCAAAAAAGGCGTTAGAAATAGAAAGAAAAAACTCTTTAAAATCATTTAAAAGTTGTCAATTTCTAAAATTTTATTTACTTTTCACGAAATTAGCATGTTAGTCACCAGTCTTCTTTCCGTGCAAAATGCGCTGAGTAATGTGACGTCATGGAAGTAAATTTAGCAAAAAGAAAGGCATTGACAATATTCTTCAGTATTGCTGTTTATTTTGTTTTTAAAGATTGCAGTAGAAGTTGGAAGAGTTAGGGAAGAATGTCCAGTCAACTTGAAAGTATCCTTTATGAAGTGAAGCCATGAAAGCCATAAAAATGCGCTATATTGCTTAAAATTTGTTGCATGTCTTGACTATATAATCCTGTTTTGTTTATATACTGTAGTTGTATATATATCTACATGTGTATTACCATATTGTAGTCACCATAATTGTCCAGCCTGTTTTTGGCTAGCTTCCCCTATCCCTTTGTAAAACATAGACAAATTAAGTTTTGCATCTTTTGAGGAAATTACTGTAGGTTTATAAAAAACAATGTCTGACAGTATGATATTGGAAAATTTAATATTTTTGTGTTATTTTCCTTTACTGGATTATTAAACTACAGAACACTTATTTAATTTAAAGGTAAGTTGTATGAAACATATATAATCGATATCTCTTTCTATCAAAATTCTTGCAAAGCACACTGGTGGTAGCAGTCACACACCTGTATGCAGGATATAGATTTATGTCTCGCTGTTTATGAGTTAAGGTTAGTGGTTAGCGTCAGGATGGGGATTAGTAAATAGCGAGACATGAATCTATAACCCACCTGTATGGAACGACACTCTTCTGTGTACCCGACATCCTGCAAAATGTGCACCAATTACTAGTAAATATATTAGCAAAGCAAGCTTACTACATGTAGTCTGCAGCCCTATCACATGTGCACACCAAATGAATATAACTGGAATGCTACCTCCAACCGGAAATTTGAAGCCAAACTTGAAGGCCAGTCCCAGTCTTTTCACATATGTGAAGAGCGTTCAGTCAGTCAATCATGATATAAACATGCATGTCTTGACCTCCAGACACCCGTGTCTGTAGGTCAGATGTGGCTTCAAGGAAAAGATAGGGAGTTTATCTGAAGGTAGTGTTCCAATTATATTCATTTCAATGTGCATGAGGCATGTTACTGTTGTTTGCATCTACAGGTACATATATTGCCTATTCTCGTGTAGGGTTGGGTGATATTTTGATATATCGAGATATTTTCAATCACGATTATCGTATCGAAGGTAGAAACTTGAGCGACGATATATCGAAATTATCGTCATGCTCGTTGACCATCGTGATATTGCTTCGCATGTGTGTATAGCTTTTATAAAATCCTAAAAAATTCCTTCAATTCCTAGAAAATATAGTTTTTAAAATAATTAAAACTATCCCCTGAGTTAAATATGAATTTAATACGATACAAAAGCTAATATTTATGTATTAATCTGCTGAACAATGAAATTGCAGGCTTTGCTTGCGCTGTGTGCCCATGGCATTTGTGCCTGCGGAGACACAGTAGACACTGCATAGACAGTTCAGGTTTATGAACAGTAAATACTAGACTACAAAAGCCTTCTTATTACTTTAATTTGTTGTTTTACTTGCTTTTAATAAGATTATATATAAGCTTACTATGCTTGGATATTAATTAAAATTCAAAAATGTGGTCATTGTTTTAATATTGCATTTATCGCGATATTATCGAATATCGGGATAATTTCCTCCACAATAATCGTGAGATGATTTTTTTAATATCGCCCAACCCTATTCTCGTGTGAAACTTCAAAGTATGTAATAAACATTTGAAGGTTTCAATGAGCTCAAGATTCCTCAGATTTCCATAATCTCAATTTTCACCACATAATTTCTGTTTAGTTTGCTGCCAAACAACTGCAGAGAAATGCCACAAAGTGTGAAAAAGAGGAGAAAGCAGAAAAAGCAAAAATTAAGAAGGTATTTAAAGTCAAGTCATCTCCTTGTACAAAACCTTGGTGATGACCCCCCTGAATCAGTTGACATCAGTTAAATCAAAGCATGTTAAATCAATCATTTAAATCAAAGCATGATGAATGATGGTCTGTTATTCAGCGTTGATTGTGACTTGATAAAGATTTTTGATTTATTTAGGCAATACAAAAAGGAAATATGGAGGGAGCCAGGATCCATGCAGAAAATTCAATTAGACAAAAGAGCCAAGTAAGATGTATACCTTTAAAGAATTATAATACAATATCATTACATAGACAACTTGCATGTTAGACTAATTTTTTATCTACGGCATGCAAAAAAAAAAGTAAATTCCTGTAAAAAACTTATTAAAATTAGTAAAAGTGCAAAATTTGATTACAAAATGTTGTAAAATATGGAAAATGTGAACATTGCAAGACTATATTTTCCAAGCTTTGTATCATTTTGCAACCAAATTTTGCAATTTTACTCATTTCATTATATTCTTTTTAGCTGTGGTGTTTGATTCCCTTTAGCTGTGGTGTTTGATTCCCTTTGACACTTTACTTAGATTAAAATTTAGTCTAACATGCAAGTTGTCCATTTTCTTGAGAATTTTGTAAGAATTCATCTAAATGCTTCTTTATAATTTATAATTTATTAATTATCCAATATCACATATTTTATTTTAGGCTCTGAATTATTTACGTATGGGCTCTCGAATTGATGCTGTTTCACAAAGAGTACAAACAGCCGTCACCATGAAACAGGTGAGGTTTATTAAAATAGAGCACAGTCTATCTCTTGTTCATTTTACCAGGAGATATGGTATAGCTAGACCCCAGCAAAAACACGTTCATAGGTTTAACCAGGAGAGAGCTAGCTTGGAAATGGGATCCCATAAAGGTGTGGACCCTTACTCTCACACTTATGTAATTTCTTGAAGGGGGTGGGGGTGGTGCTTACTCCCGGAAAACTGCAATTCCATATCAACCAAATTTGCATGGCCACAAGAGATTTGCTTGTTAATGGTCAGTCTTATTTTTAGGTGACAGGATCGATGTCTGGTGTGGTCAAATCAATGGATGCCGCATTAAAGTCGATGAACTTGGAAAAGGTACAATTATTCTACTCTAGTTTCATGGATCATTTAGTTGTGGTGAATATATATAGAAATTATAGAAGATTATTTATTAATTATTTCTTATTCTTTAGGTTTCAGCATTAATGGAGAAGTTTGAGAAACAATTTGAAGACTTAGATGTACAGTCTGGTGTCATGGAGCATTCAATGTCCAACAGTGTCACAACTTCCGTACCTCAAGTATGTAATACAGGCAGATTGACAACATTGACTGCCCTTTTGTTGAGAACTGCAAATATTCAGTTACCTCTCCCCTTTATTGTAGTATGTGACACTGAATATTTCATCTTTATCCCTTGATAGTGCAGTCTTGTCCATCAATCTGTAAACTAATTTTCACTTTTTTTTTGCATTAATTAGGACAGTGTTGACCAACTTATGCATGAGGTTGCAGATGAGCACGGGTGAGTCCATAAATTCACAATGAGAATCAATTGTCACATTATAAAATCTTTCTCTTTTAGTGGTAAAAACTGACTGTGATTTTCATTTTAAATGTATAGTTTAGAGGTGAATATGGATCTGCCTCAAACAACACAGCTTGGTGGAGCTTCCACAGCCTCTGTAGAACAGGTATTGTTGCAATTTTCTATACTTGATAGTTTTTAATACTGATCAACTCACATCATTCCCCTTTCATTCTTCTACATTATGTCATTATCAGTACAGTGCTGTAATATTAAGATTGTTTACATATTCTAACCATCCATTCAGTTATATATGTTTGTTTGTGATGTTGTCTTTGAGTGTGTCCACACCCTGGGTTCAATTCCCACTGCAGTCAAGTAAACTTTTTGGCTCTGGTGTGGGTTTCCAGAGACAACATCAGAGACAACATCATCACAAACAATGAAACATATATCTTCACCTGAGTGCATAACACCAGGAACACAAAAAATTCAAGATCCCTTCAGTTTTTAACCCATTAAGTTGCATTGTGCCCTAATGCACCCTACTTTATTATTTTACTCTGTCCAATGCCAGACCATTTTACTTGTCAAAAGGAAGGCACTGATGCTCAATGGAATTCCATCTTGTTTTGTCATTTCTTCAGTTTTTAAGAACTACTACTCCTCAAGATATTTCATCAAATTATTTATTTCCTAGGACGAACTAAGTCAAAGGCTAGCCAAACTAAGACAGTGACGAGAACTGTGAATGGTAAAGATTTGACATCCAACTCTACAAGTCAGTCAAAACAACTTATGAATTATTTTATTATTATGGATCACATATATTGTTGGCATCAGTGGATTAACCATTTGAAACATAAAAAAGGATCCAGGTTATTCCTCATGTTTGCGCATAATCATAGGTAGATCTACTGGGGGTGCACCCCTCCTAGTGGTGTCCAGCACCCCTAGTAGTGTCCAGCACCCCCTTTAGATTTTCTACTTTCCGAGTTTTATAAAACATCATATTTACTCTAAATAATTTTTGCTTGAAATACATGTACTGCAAAGACAAATTCCACCCTCCTTCTAATAAGTAAGGCTAGATCTAGCCTGCGGTGTAGACCCCAGCAGAAACGTGTTTCTGCTGGGGTCTACACCGTAGGCTAGGCTAGATCCGCCCATGCACACAATATAGTTAGGGTTGGGATTGGAGTCAAGTATGAAAAATGAGGATGTTACCAGGATTAGAATAGAAACAAAAATGCTCGTTGCATTTTTGCCATTTTCGCAATAACTTTTGAACGGTTTTGCCATCATTGTCGCATGCCCATGTCAACACAAGTCATTTATATGCAGTGCTACAGACATACCGTAGTATAAAATTGGGAGGTCTTAAAACACAAAAAATCTCCAGAAAATTGAAAATAACGAAAGTTAATCTTGTAAAATATTTAAATGTAAATTCATTTTGAATAAATTAGCGCTTTTGCTGGATAAAAAAATAGGTGTCACTTGAAACTACTTGAAAATAGCGTTACTTTAAAATTAAATAGGCTTTTATGGTCAATTGGTCATGGTGCGTTAACGATTGGGCAGAGGCCCAGAAAAATTATTATACGAAAAGCTTTCCATATTTTGACACAAATAAAAGTGACACAAAGTTATTTTAATTGAACGACATTTCCGTGTCATAAGAGTTCGTTACTAGCGAATAATTACATGCACGCGCGCATATGCGGCAAAAAGCAAGCCGGTTATTACAATTTTTAGCAATTATGACCTATTTTGTACTCGCGCGCATGTTTTTAGCCGTATCGCTATTGCCGCGGGGTTTTAATTACTATTCTCACGAGTTTTCCCAATATGTCAACAGGATGTACTTAGTAGACTTGTTGTTTTAAAGATAAGGAAATTAGCACGCTTATGTGAATATAATGTGATTGAATTTGGCCCGAAATACTTAAATTGGCTGAGTAGTACTTGCCTTAAATTGCAAAAACCTGGCGCAATGTGCGATATTCGGTGTATTGTACAAGAGCAATAAATGAGGCGAGATGTCTCGCTGTGAAATGACTGACATCCCGAGCGAGAACAAGGAGTCTTTTTGCAACGATTGTTGCAAGTCACAGAATTGGGTAGACTTAATACGCGGGTAAAATATAGCATTGACATCGTGCAGCGAATACTAATTCATATTATTTCCCTCACGCGAACGGGATCAGATTACTTCGTGTGTTATCTCTTACTTTATCGTCGTAAAATCATCAATATCGCAAGGTTTTATCTTGGATTATCAACCATCATGAGTTACATAGTGGTGTCGGTCTTGATACAAGTTTCACTTTGCCGCTTAATACTGGCAGCCGTGCCACACAGTCAGGTATGCTCATAGTAATAGGTATTTGAAAGTTAGTCATAACAATATTACCAAATTTATTAACGAATGCACGTAGATTTAAACCATGTTTAGCTAGGGGTGTTTTCTTCCAGATAACTGAGTTGATAGAGCCACAGGGTACTAACCAGCTCAATCTGTGATGTACTGTACGGGTAACCATTCTCAATGAATGAAAACTTTATCACATAAATGTCATAATACTACACGGGTGATAACCTTTGTGGAGTTTAATATGGAATTGTGCATGTATACTATACTATACTAATGATATTATATCGTAACTAGGATTTTAGATTTACCGACTCGACCCCAATGGGGGGGAGGGGGCAATATTCCTCCACAAAATGTTTCATCTTCTAAGGGTTAGAGACCCATTTCCTTCATTCTGCAAACAGTGACATAATGACTATCATTTTATAGTCGGGCGCCTCCCCCCCCCCCTCCCCTCGGTGTGACCACTATGTGCTACCCTCCCTCTTGTGTTCACCCAACCCAGTGTTGAATGAGTACATTACGGACGTTTGCCATGGATACACAAGCTAACCTAATTAAAGTAATACATATACATAGTTTAGAGTTGCAGCCTCTCAGTTTAACTTGTCAGATCACTCATAACCTGCAGTCATTATTTCCCACTCTTTCTCTAGAGTAATTATTCAAAATGCGTGGAGGAAGTGCAAGAATTTAACACAAAATGTGAAATTTTCGTGAAAGACACTAATCGAGATACAAATAATGTTTGTGAAAGTCAAAGCAAAACTATGATGTTGAAATGTCAGAATATTAGAATTAATGGTGAGTAGTCTTATTATAATAAAAGAGAATTCTGAAAATTCTTGTTGTAATTGCTATTTAAAATGGTGTTCTAAGTAACCTATATTCTATATTAAGTCTATTAACCCATTAAATGGCTGGCAATGCGCCCTACTTTATAATTTTGCTCTGTCTCATGCCAGACAATTTTACTCATCAATGAGAGAGCGCTGCCACTCAAAGGGTTAATGACTGCTTAAACCTTAACTTGACATATTGTTTTAGAGGAGTGCCAGAAATGTTTCGATACTTTGAACGCACTGGTCAAAGATTGTGCTCAATTTTACCTGCCAGCGACAAAAACAGTTGAATGTATTGATCTTAAAAAGAAGTTGACCGAACGCTGCTCAATGAAATGCCCAGGTTTGTACATAATAATATTTAGAGCGCTGCACCAGAATCGCATGAGGGTCGCAGGTTCAAATGCTGCTGAAGGACTTAACTTTAACTTAATTAAGGTCCATTTCCACTCAGGAAAATTTTCCACAGAAAGAAAATTGTGTAAAATGTGATGGCTGACACAAATTTTGCGTTGCAAAAATTTTGAAGTTGAAAATTTTCAGCTTTTAACAAAATACTTGCGATAGATGAACCAGGCGGAAATCGTAATCTTAGGATATATATTAATGCCCAGCATAAAACACGTAAAAGAGCCATAAGAGAGCCATCCTTCACGTGTGGTTGCTGTTCCGCAACGTATTTGGGCCAAACGGTCCGTCACTTGCACTCACGAGTTTCTGAACATTTGGGTGTTTCTCCTCTAACAGGCAGTAAAAGCAGCAATCCGACCATGTCTAGTATCCTTTCCCATTTTGATAGCACTGGTCACTCCGCCTCTCTTAATGATTTTAAGATTATTTCTTGTTGCTCTTCTCCAGACGAACTCCTCATTCGAGAAAGTCTTCTCATTAACAAACTCAAACCCTCTCTCAACTTACAAGGCAGTTCGGTCCCTCTACCTCTACTCTGATCCATTCCTCTTTCTACTTTTGTAATATAATATCTTGTAAATAGTTGTAATTTATTCATATTTCTGTGTTTTCCGCTTTGTATGTCATTGCTCTGAAGATGTCTTAAGTTAAAGACGAAACGTTAGCTTTCAAATAAATATTTTAAATTATATTTTTGTTATGGCTTTTTTACGTGTTTTACGCTGGGCATTAATATTTATCCTAAGCTTTTAACAATGATATTTTCGGAAAATTTTCTGTCCGTGGATATTTTTCTTGAGTCGAAATGAGCCTTTATAGTTGCAGTTTTAGTTTATATAGTTTTCGCTCGATATTCCAAAAACTCTTTAACACTTATTTGGAATTACACTCTTAAATTTTCTTTTTCTTCAGTTTGTCATGACGAGTTATGTAGGAACGGAGGCAAATGTCGAGATGCTGAATATATTTTCTCGTGTCGTTGTCCTGGTCATGTCAAGGGCGTTCACTGTGAGACAAGTACGTTTCTCGTTGTGCAAGTTTAAAATCCCTTTGAGTAAATGACGCTGTGGTCCCTGTACGTTGTGAGAAACGTAGGATGCATGCAGTGTATAGTTCGGTCTAGGTGCATGTACCGATTGAATAAGGAGTACAAGAACTCAAGATGACTCTTACTCTTGAACCTTTATAACGGGATGACGTCATGACAGTGTTGAACTGGCAGAGCTATCGATATCCAGTGTAAATAGACTCATTGCACTGACGCCACAAATCCTTAGAGTGTCCTCCAGATGCTCCCTAACAATATCTGTTCGGGTAAAACAACCACATACAGCATTTGCTTTGTTTACAAAAGTTATATTATGCATAGATTGCTAATTTCAGTAATTTGTCCTCCAGATGCATCATCAACGGCGCTGTGACGTCATGTGCAATGGGTCTATAGAATTAGTTTAGTTCTGGTTTCCTCCCAAGGTTACATAAGGGATGGGCCCTTCTGCACCTCTAGGGAAGCCAATGTAGAACTGATAGAGTTATCCACTTTAAAAAAGGTTAGTTTAGTTTAGGTTTCCCCCTGTAGTAACACTGGAGCAAAAAAAGGTGTCGTCCTCACTGAACCTCGATAGAAAACAGTGCAGGACTGATAGAGCTATCCAGTATAAATATTAATAAAGGTTGGTTTAGTTTAGTTCAGTGGTGGATCCAGCAAAGTTTTTATTTGGGGGGGGGGGGTGCTAACCAATGGCGAAACGAGCACCAAAGGCGCAAGATTTCTAGGGTGGTCCGGGGGCATACTCCCCCGGAAAATTTTTAAAATTTGGGTCTCTGAAATGGCATTTCCAGCATTCTGAGAAAACATTCTGGAAAATTTTTAGATTCGCAAAACATTTAAAAATTCAAAATATTTAATATTGGCTATTCCGCTATTGTCAACTAGTGATACGCAACTGAATTCCTTAACATAAGTTGGTTAGAATTAGGATAAACGTAATTTTTGCACCCCCATGCACCCCTGTTGACCAGAGCCTGGGGTGCGCCACCCTAAATCCACCACTGGTTTGGTTTAGTTTAGTTTAGGTTTCCTCCTGAGGTAACATTGGAGGAATAAGAGATAACCGTTTTGGACCTCTACAGGGGAAGAGTTTAGAACTGATAGAGCTATCCAGTACAAATAAAGTTAGTAAAGTACTAAAATTATCTTTTGTCTGTCTAGGTCGATGTTCGCAGCCTTGCCAAAACAAGGGTATTTGTGCTGGAGATGATCTGTGCAGCTGTTCCTATCCACACACTGGGTCCTTTTGCAACCGCGTAAGGCTAGGTAGTAAATATAACCCAGCAAGGAATGCCAGTGAGATACTGCATGCTGGTGATAGTCTGGGCAGTGGTATGTACTGGATCCAACCTGACGGTGAACCGCAGCCTGCTTTCACGTATTGTGACATGAAGTTTGATGATGGTGGATGGATGCTGTCAAGCTATGGTTATGTGGAGATTGATGGTGATGATCACAGGAATAGACTGATGTTAAATATGAACCATCCTCATGGTTATCTGTGGTTGCCACAGCAACGGAGCTTCACACACGGAGTGATAACATTAAGCAAGGGAGCCACATTACTTGCAAGGTAGATAGACAACTCAAGGATTACGATTAATATTTCTGTAGCGGAAATTTACATGTGCGTGGATATGATCAAATGCGTTTTACATCAAGTATTAGGCTTACCTAATTACTTATTTAGCCTAGACTGTTTATCTTGACAATGGACGACTTGCGCTTTAGACTAAATTTTAATCTAAGTAAGAACAACGAAATCTATCACCACAACTAGAAAGAGCGTCTTGGAATTAGTAATATTACAAAGTTTGGTTGCGAAATGTTGTAAAATACGGAAAATATAGCCCTTCAAAGTTGGCAAATTTGTATACTTTTGTATTACGTGCGTGAATTGGTAACTAAATTAGTTACCAATTTCCGCACGTAATAGAAATGTATACAAATTTGCCAACTTCGCAGGGCTATATTTTCCGTATTTTACAACATTTCGCAACCAAACTTTGCAGTTTTTCTAATTTTGATAACTTCTTTCCAAAAATATCCTTTGTTATTCCCAGATTAAAACTTTTTCTAAAGCGCAAGTCCATTATGATATTAATATCTTAACTGTGACATGTGTTTATCCTAACCCACCCTGTCAACTTTCCCTGTGCATGAGAGGAAACCGGAATTTTAGTTTTTAATAAGCTTTCGTACATTTATACGAAGAGTTAAACAAAAAAAACCAACAAAAAAACAAACAACGTAGCAAGCTCCAATCAAGGTTTAACTCCGAAATTACAAATTAATTGGTCTAAAAGCATAAATACATTTGTAAAATTAGAAATACAAACTTAGATAATATATAACCTTAACAACATATTGACAAACTAGACATATTAGACATACTACAACATTAAAGCACTGACTAGTCCATGTTCTGAATGTGTCCACATCAAATATATTTGACGTTTGTGTGATGTTACTCTGAGTGTATATCCACACCGGGCAGGCTTGAAAAATATGCCTGTCCACGGTGGGATTCGAACCTACGTCCTTTGGAATACTAGCTGTTGGAAGAGCATTGGGCAAGTATTCCAAAGGTCGTAGGTTCGAATCCCACCGTGGCCAGGCATATTTTTCAAGCCTGCCCGGTGTGGATATACACTCAGAGTAACATCACACAAACATCTTATTCACCTGAGTACATTACACCAACACCGCAGATTTCATGTATATTTGACAATGTCCCCCAATTTTTTTTTTTCAACGGAGCACCCGGAGAAAACCCACCGACTCTTTTCACATGAGTTCCGGTAGCGAGAATCGAAGCCACGAACTCGGAGGCGAAACGCGCTTGTTCCGATCACTGCGCCATTGAAACCCTATTGAAAACGTTTAACTTATTCAAATATTACACCCGTTTTCAAAATTACGCGACCTCCCTGAAAAATACTCCTACTTCAAATGTCAGTTTTATGTCACAAGAACTGCTAAAAATAGCAAACGTGAACAAACTGTCTAAAGACATTTTAAACCGTATTTAATACCAAAACTGAACAAAAATGAGTCAGATAACCTTAGATATACAAACTAAAGCACAATACAAACCATCACAACATAAATATGTGCCGTGAATGACTTTTAAAGTTTGAAAAATTACAATTTATCCTGGAATATAGCTGTCAGTATAAAACACGCGCGCTAGACTATAACAGTGATGTTATGATTTTGTCGTGCTTAAATTTTACAATAATTCTCACTAAAATATCTTGAAAATCATTGTAGTCTGTTTATATAAAGCATACAAAGCATATACATCGACAAGGAACCGCAAAACTCAAAGTTTGAACTTCGTGATCGAATGACATAAAACTGGCATGTCAACTCTAGCATTTTCGTCTTTGGTCGCATAATTTTGAAAACGGGTGTAAACAAAATATATGGGTTTCGGTCAGCACAGATCGTTGTAAATATTTCCTAAAATAATTGTTTCTCTCGTTGCAGGTCTGCTACATACATGATAATGGCTGCGGGTAATAACCCACGCACGGGTGGTATTGATGAATATAAGTATGTCTACAGAATTAACCTGTGTAATATAACTCGGAAGATCACATTTGATAACCATAACGCATACCATGGTGCTTCGGGGTCACGTAATATACCACGCATGCATCTGCAAACTTTTACCGTATATGGTCTTAAGGGAGACTTGAAGAACTACACTCGCTTCTCATTAGCTGAATCGCTTGGCGTCACGTCACGTGATTCGTTCCCAACAGGATATGGCTTTTACGAGAGGAAAGAGCAGTTTGGATTTTTTGGCAACGGGCCGTTTTTTCCCAGCATACACTCTGGCTCGGGTAGAGTTGACAGTTTCCGGTATGGGAAGTGTCGCAGTTTTACCCCGAATGTGGAGAAGACGTGCTATAGGTTCAGTTATAAAGGGTGGTATACCGCTACAAGTGTGAACAACTATGGACAAATGTCGATATGGTTTAAATAAGGAGAATATTCAGTCGGTATATCCCCATGTTTCGCATATAATTAGATTTATAGAGATAGGGTTGTGAGGGTCAAACCTGATCAAAGCAGAAATATATTTGTGTGCGAAGCATGGGGATCCAATATCTCGAATTACTTTTTCTTTTGTATGCTATGGTGGCATATGACAAAAGTGACATAATTATGCCATGCGCACTTTCGAGATGTCCGTGCTTTTTGATTGCGCATTTTTTGTTCTGTCCTTTTTTTCTTTTAATCCCTTTCTAGTTGGAAGCATTAGAGGCGGCCCGATTCCAGCCAGATGGTCTATAGTTGAATTTTTCACAACTGCTCCTGGTTAGGTTTCAATAAATGTACAACATTCACACTCGAAATTTCCATCTATAAAACCCTTCAACATTATTGTTCAATTGAGTGAGATGCATGGTCCCATGAAATCCTGATTTACCCAGAAAAATCTTGACTTACCCAAAAAATCTTGACTTACCCAAAAAATCTTGATTTACCCAAAAAATCTTGATTTACCCAAAAAATCTTGATTTACCCAAAAAATCTTGACTTACCCAAAAAATCCTGATTTACCCAAAAAATCTTGACTTACCCAAAAAATCCTGATTTACCCAAAAAATCTTGACTTACCCAAAGAATCTTGACTTACCCAAAAAATCTTGATTTACCCAAAAAATCTTGACTTACCCAAAAAATCTTGATTTACCCAAAAAATCTTGACTTACCCAAAAAATCCTAATTTACCCAAAAAATCTTGACTTACCCAAAAAATCCTGATTTACCAAAAAAATCTTGATTTACCCAAAAAATCTTGATTTACCCAAAAAGCAATAAGCGCGTATGATCTAATCGTTTGCAAAGTCGTAATTGCGCAAATATCAAAGAATATTAAGAGTCAACCACTATTAACATCCCAAAACGTCATTAACACATGCATATTTTACAGTTACTCTATGATTTTACTCTTCTTGTTTTTGACGTGTTTCAATTTGTCGCTATAAACATGACTGTTCCACATATAAAAGCCAGATATGTAGATTCAGTATTTACTATATTGGTTATTGTAATATATATGCTTTATTCGTTATCTGTGACAGAGCGCGAACTCTGTTGTCATAAGACAATATCATATTCGGTCAGTTTATCACATCTTCTGATATAGAACATGCGCTGAAAGTGAAAGGCTGAAAATAAAGACAGAAAGAGCATATTAAGAAGTGATAATATCGTTTGTGGTTATGATGTCTTAGACCTGAGGCCGGTTGTACGAAGGCCACATACTGGCAGTATCCACCGCGGATAGCGATTTTTTGCCAGCTTTCAAGCTTGTCCGTTGAATGGTACAACCTAGCCTCCTTCGCAGGCAACTTTATTGTTTGTATTGTAAATGAATCAAACAGTGGCCGCGCTTCAAGCGAATTAGTTTTCGGCTTTCGCATTTCCCCAGGCCGAAAACTAATTCGACTGCGAAAATTGCCCTTGAACTTACCTTGAATTAACGCCCCGCGTTAGAGGTTGTGCTGAAGGCAATGTTGAGCATTTAGCGATACAAACACCACATCTTCCTTTTTTTGATTTTGGTCTGTTGTTCATTTGCTCGAAACATTCCAATGTGCGCAGGCATCTTCTCTGAAAGAAAGAAAATATCAGTGATTAGTAAGCTTTAAATCACTAAATTAAAGCCCGCGGATCAAACGAAGATGATGAGTTGGTAGTAACGCGATCTTGGTTAGCTGTTCCAACACTATCATGTATTCTATTTAATGATGCTTGTGATGTTACTCTGAGTGTATATCCACACCGGGCAAGCTTGAAGAATATGCCTGGCCACGGTGGGAATCGAACCTACGATCTTTGGAATACTAGCCCAATGCTCTGCCAACTGAGCTACGCGGTCACGTTGGTTCGAGTATGTGGTATTCTATTTAACTGAGTTAATAGTTGGAACAAGATAATATCATCAAACCTTTATTTTGTTATTCAAGAGATTGAAATATCCCCCGCAACAATGCGAGATATAGGCCTACAAGGGTGGGTAGTAGCGAAGTAGTTGTAGTTCGCTACTGTAGCGAACTACAATTTTCAAGTAGCCAGTAGTTTTTAACTACTTTTTTAAAACAGTAGCTGTAGTTATAGCGAACTACATTTTGCCTAAAAGTAGCCAAGTAGTTGACTACTTTCCAAACAGCGAATCGCTATTCGCTACTTTTTATAAATTGTTAGCAACTTGATAGAATAGCATGATATTGAGGTAAAATCAATACTCAATAGTCAATTTGCACTCCTGAACACTGTAGTGCTTACAAAAATGTTGCTTTGTGCTTACTGTTGCTACTCGTAAGTCGATTTGTTATAGGTTACATTACAGCCTGAGTTAGTAGATGCTCCAAATACAGTAAAACTAAAAAATATAGCGTAGCGAAATAGTTCGCTACATTTTTTAAGCAGTAGCTGTAGTCAGTAGCGAACTACCTTTGTTCAAAAGTAGCATCAGTTGTCGCTGACTACATATTTTTGAAGTAGCTTTAGTTATAGCGAACTACAAACATTTTGTAGTCAACCCACCCTTGGAGATGTAATATTTCAAATCCGACTATGTCTATGAGGACTGGACTAGATTTCAAGTCTGTGCAATGGACAACTTGCATGTTAGACTAAATTTTAATCTAAGCATAGAAAAGGGAATCAAACACCACAGGTAAAAAGAACATATTAAAATTAGTAAAAGTGCAAAATTTGGCTGCGAAATGTTGTAAAGCTTAGAAAATATAGCCTTGCAAAGTTGGCATATTTTCAGTATATTTGTATTACGAGCGGAAATTGTTACCATTTTCGGCTCAAAAATGGTAACAATTTCCGCACGTAATACAAATATACTGAAAATATGCAAACTTTGCAAGGCTATATTTTCCAAGCTTTACAACATTTCGCAACCAAATTTTGCAAGTTTACTAATTTTAATAAGTTCTTAACGGGAATTTACTTTTTTTTTTCCTAGATCGGTTAGATCAAAAATTTGTCTAACATGCAAGTTGTCTATTTGATCACGTCCGAGGCGAAGCCATAGGACTGGATCAAGGTGGGAGCATGCTGGACTTGAAATATAGTTCAGTCCGAATTGGAGGATTTGAAATGATAAATCACAACTTAAAGCATGGATAATAAAATAAATGGATTGGAAACTTCTGACGTCATTGACTGCATCCTTGTTGAAAAACGTGACGTCACGCGTATTGCGAATGTTACCAAAGTTCTCGGCATTTTTGTTGTTTTGCTATATTTTCCACTTTAAAAGGGTGATCTTGAAGCGTAAACTGGTCTAGTTGTTTTAAAAACATGCCTAAGCCACGACAAAGTATTCAAGGTAAATGTTTTTCGTCTTTGTTTTGTATTTTTTTACATTTGTAGCTACGAAATTGGCGTCACAAATTTTTGCGAAATTTGCGATGTATTTTTCACTGTTTAGTGCTTGAAATATTTGCTAAAATTGACTGGAAATACTTAGAGTTTTCATCGTAGAATGGCGTGGTTACATTTATTTGCTCTTTGACTAAAATGTTTAGCTGTATTATTGCTAAACATGCCGTTTTTGAGAATTTGGTTTTCAACTAGGTTGAGGCACCCAGCCACGCCATCAATCCCAGTAAAAACATTAGGTCACGTCAGCTAGTTTCATATCCATTTATTTTATTATCCATGCTTAAAGTGAGGTGAATTAATTTTGGTCCAGTCCAAGGACTGAATTAATTTTGATCCAGTCTTAGGACAGGATCAATATACTTCATCAGGTATCCAGTATCATGTGAGCAAAATAAAACAATATGGTTAGCTAATTTACTCATGAATTATTAATGCGCTTGAGATTGCCAATTCTTATTTAAGGCCCTGTCACACTATTGCGTATCGTACTAGCGTATGCCAGCGTATGAAAAATATCACTCGTACTCCGGTATACGCTGACATATACGCTAGGGGTACGTTAGGCATAGGTTGTATACGTTTCAAGCACGGTCGCATACGGTGGCATACGCAGGCATACGGTGAGGCAGAAAATTTTTTTTAAGCATGTTCAAAAATTTTGTGCGTATCGGACGTATGCTTTATACGATAAGCATACTCTAGGCACACGCTGAATACGCTAGAGGTACGCCAGATGTACGATACTCATACGCTGGCATTTCAAAGGATTTTTGTGCGTATGAAAATTATTTCACAAACTTCTCATACGTTTCTCTCATACGCAATAGTGTGACAGGGCCTTTATCCTTGTTTGACCGGGGCTTGACTTTATACTGCATCGTTCGATTAGTTCTGCCTCTTCCCTAGATAGCTCTATCACTTCCAAACTGTTCCAGGTAGAGGTCCAGTAACCATCTCTTATTGGTAAAGTATCCACAAGAGGAACGAGAGTACCTGAAGAAATATTGTTTTGGCTAGAAGGTTCTACCCTCTATTCTGTTGACTGAAAATAATTTCCATTCAAGAGTCGGAATACACAAAGCTCAGTGACGACACACAGATGTGAGAACGGGGATTTCAACATCGTCGGAAGGTGATGTTTAATTTTCCTCTCGGAAATAACATAGACTTGTTGCGGTTATATCGCCCGCGTTTTTGTTTATAATAAACTAATTAGGATACGACAAACTTCAAAGATTTCGGCAAATAGTACAAGAAATTATAATATTTGAGGAATTTGACTTCGTCATATGCCAACATACCAGCGCAAATTATTCAGGATTGTAGCTAGGGCGCTTATATATATAAGCGCTCTGATCGTAGCTGGCAGAACGCGGTGTGCGCAAAAATGATATCATGTAAAAATGCTCGTATCACTCGACTATCTACTATAGTACCATTCCATTGTAACATTATTTCGTGAATTCGTCAAAAATAATAAAACATTTTAAAATAACAAACCCAAATGTGATGGGGGAATTGTTTTGGCCGTCACATCTGCAAGAATTTTTTCGGAATTTTAAAGGGATTTTTCTTTGCACGAATTTTTTGTTTCCCCTTATCATCAAACGTTTATCATGATCAAGGTCTATAGCAAAAACATATGCGAACTTCCTGCGGGCAAATTCAATCCAAGAATTCATGAAATGTTTCTGCTATGATTTCCATAGATTGCTTTGCGATAAGCTTGTTTACACTGCAGCAGTGAAAGTGTTTTCCCAAATGCTCAAATATCGCGCTCCGACAGCGCTTTGCGTTATGTTTATAATGTTTCAATGAAATTAACATCTCGGTAAGAGGAACGCGCACTGCTTGGTGCTTGCAGGCGCTGGTGAATAACGTACACGTTATTTTTATTAATTGGCGCAACGAGGTATATATATAGTAAAAATATTTTGCGTAATTAGATTCCAGACATCTGCATCAATGTTTTCACGCTAATTTAAATTATCTGATTTCGCAATGAACTTGCGTCAAACTTTGCGTCAACTTATTTTTAGAAAATAACATTGATGTAACTGTATGATAAGCATAATAATCTCCGCAAGTCACGATATACCAAACTCGACTAACAACTATTTCTACAACGGACCCTTCATTTCGTTTACAGTGAGACTGAGTTCTTACACTGTGACGAGAGAATTGATAAGTTGTTAAAACTATCCTTTTTAAGGCTACTTTCCACGGAAAAGTTTACATCCATTTCAATTTTCTTGTGAAGTAAGGACACTGTCATTTTGTTCTCTGTATGATTTAATTAAAGTGTAATTGTCGAGGTAATTGCTACTTATACAATTTAGAAAGATTTAAACTTTTCCATTCATATATACATACATACGTATAAAAAATACTTAACTGGAAAGTCTATCAGTCACTGAAATCTAGTGATGAATTTAGTATTTTACTAAAAGCCTGAAGATTTCAGTGTCAGTGGGACGGTCTTTGGACGTTCTTCTATCCCATGTAGAGATTAGGAAAATTGAGTTTAAGTATATTCTGATTTCTGAACTCTTTTCTGCTGCTATATTTTATCACGATCCAACACATCTTTGCCTCGAAAGAAGTATTATTCTCTTTCCCCGTATCGTTTAACATATATGATCGGCCGGATGACTTTGGTACTTTGCATGGAATTTAGATTCCAAAAAAAGGGAAACTCCTTGCGCTCGGACACTTTCTCATTCAAGGTATTCAAACATTTCTATCTCTTCAACTCAGTTGTTTTCGTCCTTATCAATTATGTATGAACGATGATGGATATCGTGGATTCACTACTAGCTTCCTTTTAATCATTCATACGTGTCCGCAGTATATGAAACTCGTAGACTTCTAACGCGCTCTTCAGTTCTATATGGAAGGTCCGACTTGGCAGCCCGAAGAGAGAGAGTTATGAAATAATCAAGCACTAACTATCTCCTCAAACATAATCTTAAAGGTCTATGCCAGTGTAGGTAGTGCCAATACTACCATTTTCGAGCTTCCGTGAAGCGTGCATTTATAACTAGGTTTTAAAACGTTTCTTCAGCATGAGTTTGTCATTCAAAACTTTTTGTTTTGCTCCTAAAACATTTTGTTTTGACATAATAAATTCTGTGGGCGTGGTATAAAACATATTGTTTTGCACGCGAAACTTTGAATTTCGGCGTCAAAACTCAAAACTCACTTGTATTATAGAGGTTTGTTACGTAAACACATCCAGAAGGTGCTATAAATCTGTCATTCCGCTTTCTATAGCAATTTTGTCAGTATAAGCGCGTCCGTATGAAAAATAAGAAGACATTTTCGCGTTCGAAACAATGTGCTTGACAAAACGCCCACAAAAGTTATTATGGCAAAACAAAAAGTTATGATTGACAAACTCATGCTGAAGAAACGTTTTGAAACGTAGTTATAAATGCACGCTTCACGGTAGTTCGCAAATGGTAGTAACAAGACAAATTCGCATTGATAGGGATACAACTACCTGAAAAATACAAGGAGAACTTCGACATTTCGAGCGATGACCATTCGTCGGAAAGTTAGTGGCCAACGAGGCCTTCGCGGTAGTTGCACGCATCCCTATCAATCCAAAGTTTCTCCTCAATTCATTCCCGTTCGAATCGTTTCTATATAAATGATGATGGATTCAGTCTATTCTCGTCAACGGGCCAACTCTTCGAACAGGAAAGAGTTAAGTGTCAATCGCTGTGTTCAGTTCTATTCTACCACACTTCGCTTCCGTTAGGATAACAACAAGAGCGCGCTAAATATAATAACTTCTTCCTTGTAGGGCAGCTTAAAAAAACAATCTTCCTGCTTTAAGGCAATATTCAACATATATATTTCCCACACTTCCGTTAGATGTAAATTATACGGAAAATATAATCTAAAACAATTAGAGTGAATTTTGACACGAGGCCTTATTTGGAGTGCAAATGTGGAAGTTTTCAAGGAAACAAGGCATTTCTGTGTCAGGATTAAATGAAATATTATATGAGGAAGCTTAGTTCCATGAATTCTGGCATGAGTTATATATGTCACTTTCTGGATTGTACAGGCGAAATTTATGAAAACGCACACTCGCGCGGCAACAATTTAATGTGTGGTTGCGATGAACTATTTACTTGCGGGATAACACGATCAAACTACCTGAAAAGTATAATAACTTGGAATTTCAATCCAATTCGTTCGCTTGTATTAGAAAAGTGAGAGAGAAAGCAACTGTGTAACACCAATGAACACTTCTTCATTAAACGAGCTGCGGTTCCTTTTCAGCGACGACTTAAATCATTTGTATAAGGGAACGAAGTAAAGTCCCATTCAGGTTTGAAAGTACCTCAAATTGGATTCAAAATCTACGCTTTCTATCCATTGTGTAGCAAGAAAATATACGCATATCATGCATAAAACATAGTATATACGAGTTTAGTAATGTGAGCAATAGGCTGATTAATTAAGATCAAAGTATCTTCCAATCTTATTACTAGGAACGCTATGGTATACTTCAATGATTACTTGTTATATAGGCACCACTTTCTGTACGAGCTTTCAACTTACAGATACAATTAAAATTTAGCTGCCTTTCATGGGAAGAGTGCTTTCAGCAGCACTGTGGTTGTCTCTGAGTACTCCTGTAGTAACATTTGACGGTTTATGGATGGTACTCATTATAGGACCTCTGGGAAAAAAAACAGCTTAGAAATGGTTGAGCTATCATCCAGTGTGCATGCATGTTAATTAAAAATCAAAGTTCAGTTTAGGCACAGTCATTATATAAAACTTACAATACTACTCACCCAGCAATACTTTGTCTTTGCCCTAAGTCTGCGCGATTGTCTTTTCATTTCGCGTTCCTGATTGTGGATAATTTCGTGATCATCGCGCGCAACGTAGTGAAAATCCGACGCGTTCTTCGTGACAAGGCTCGTTTTATTGCGTTGTCCCAATTTCGACGCATTTGGAATATCCGAATCATCCAAATCACCACTGGCATCCCCAGAGTCCATGAGAGATTGAGCAACAAGTAGTAACCAAATAAAGAACACAAAAATCCATCTCGAAGACATGTTTAGGACGTTCTTGTCTTATGTATACTAAGGCTTGTATTCCCTACGCGGCTTCCTAACTTAATTGCGCTGAATTTTGAGCAATTGTCACACATATAAGCGATGGCAACTCGCGATAAACCGGCCCCCTATAGATTTCTGGCAGACTGTAAAATTGTTGGCCATGCCCCGAGCTTCCTATTTCTTTGTTCTAGACTTGACCTTTGGAGAAAGGGCTTTCTTTACATGCGCACGCAAATTCATGACTGTTACCACAGTTAAGTTACATATCCCTTCTCCTTCACCTTAATCACCTCGGTTCTTCATGCTGGAATCGTTACAGTTTAATTCTGGTAACTGTGGTAATCTGTTGGGATTGATAAACCCTAATACTTCCGAAAATATTTTAAACTAAGTGGTAAGCGTCATTAACACAAATAATTTGTAATGATTATCTCAGCTTGCGACCACAAATAAACAACTTAATGTATATTTATACTATACAGAATGACCCACGCATGCACCAACTCGCAAAAACCTTATTTTTCATACTCTAGTTAAAGAGTATTTTTATCTATGAGAGCGTCAATTATGCAAATTAGATAATTAACATTTGAAATTAATACATTTTTGCCAGCAGTTGTACTAAGGGTTGCTATTACACATGATGTATTTGCAATCAAACACAAGGTCAGCACAATAGTACATATAGACAACAAAGTTTTTCTTTTAGAATTGACCACCACATTTACAGTACCATTGTGATAAATACAGCAATCTGGGCGCAAAAAGAACATTTATATCTAATGGGATTTAAAAGAAAATGATAACAACATGTTAGTATGTCTTCAAATCAACTTGTTTATGAACCGTCAACTATCTCAAAGATTGCCGTTCATACTTTCACCTCGCTTAATTTCCGGAGTTCTGATTTTATAGTTTAAACATACGGCAAGTGAGACCGACACAGCTCACCCCCAGCAAGACAATATTTCCTCATTTCGTAGAAAAACAAACAATTTTAGATTAAAAGCGCTACTGTTAATTAGATTTCGCTTGCATGCACGAACAAAACGTTGAGAGGATTTGTTGCAAAAGTGGTTGTATATAGTTAGAATGCAATGAAACTGTAGTTGCCAATGTGCTATTCAAACTGACCGACAAACGTTCTTTTATAGCAACCAGCAAAGACACTAGAAAACTATGAACTACAGTCGCGAAAAACTATCGAAAATAGTTTTACTCAGTTATTTTAACTGCTAATCGTCGACCGGTTTCTGTAATGTTTGGCGGATGCGAACCAATCATTGAAATGAGTTCAATGGTGGTTCATCAGTCGCAGGTTATCATCACCTGGTGAAAACAGGACTCATTTAATAGTTGGATCAACTGAAAAATCACAAAAGAGACTTTTCTAGTCAGGTATATAAGATATCTATGGTCAGGACGCTATGTGTTTATAACCCATGTAAGTAAGCAAAATGATTTGCTTCAAGTATATATATATATATATATATATATATATATATATATATATATATATATATATATATATATATATATATATATATATATATATATATATATATATATATATATATATATATATATATATATATATATATATATAAATATATATATATAAACGGGTTGTTTTTCGTTGAAAGACTAAAAAGAGTGCTCAATACTATAAACAGTACATGCAGTAGAGCTATGTAATTAACGTTACAAATATCTTAAAATAACAATGTTTTTTCGCTACTCTGAGTTTCACGATCTTGTCTGATCGATCTTCAACTGATCGATCTTCTTGACTATATATATAATATATATACCGGGTGGCGCAAAAAAAAGTATAACTGTTTGATTACATATAGCTCAAAGACCATAAGCAGTAGAGCCCAAAATCGAGTTTCATTGCATCCAGCGATGTCTAACTTAAATTTTGGTATATTCGACAGGCATTTTCGTCCAAGATTGACTGAGATATGAGTGTTTAAACTTTTGTTAGCAAATTTGAAACGGTCACAAATTAGCTAAAAACGGCCTATTAAACTGATTTTTAGCTAATTTGTGACCGTTTCAAAATTGTTAACAAAAGTTTAAACTCTTACAAGTAATCAAACAGTTGTACTTTTTTTTGCGCCACCCGGTATATATATATATAATATTAATGAGACCAAAGATGATCAAATTTTACAGTGTAGAAAGAGTGCTCAATTCCATTTAATAACGTAGAGCAAATAATTTAATTTCTTAACTTAAAATATAGTGACTATATTTTAAGTTAAGAAATTATATATATATATATATATATATATATATATATTATATATATATATATATATATATATATATATATGTATATATATATATATATATATGTATCAATTTTGTATCTGATCTAATTAAAAACATTCTAATGTTAAAAAGATTTTTATTTAAAAATTTTGCTAAATTTTCGGCTGCAAACTGCTAGCCTTCTTCTGAGCAATGTGGCTACTAAAGTCAGATTGAATTGTTTTTATAATCAGTCTACTGTTCTGCTTGATTGAATTAATCAACGGTAAATAGCAGGATGGAAATTCAGCATGTTCATTCATTTGTGTATAATTTGTAACTCCTTTCTCGAGTATCACGGCGTCTGACTTTGCGGCATCGTGTCCGGTACTTTCTGCGTGTTCTTTAATTGCAGAAAAGATCTTTTTGCGAACTCCTGGCTTGTGTTCCAACCATCTAGAACACCAACATCTCTTCGATTCACCTATGTACGAAAAAGAGTAGGATTTGCATTCATATCTGTACACTACAGCCTTTGTTCTCTCCTCTGATGGTCTTGTCTTTGGTATGCGAAATATATTTGTCAACATGTACGTACAGGTTTAAATGCAACCCGAACTCCTGCTTTTGTTAGAACACTTTTTACTTTTTCAGAGACACCTTTGACGTATGGGAGACACGTCGAACCTCGTATTTCATTTTCCACGTTTCGATTTACTTGTGTACGATCATTTATAACTTCCTCAATGAATCTTTTCGTATAACCATTTAATTCTAATGCGTGCAAAACATTCTCAGTCTCTTCAGCCTGCAAAGTCGAGTTAGATGGAATAGTCTTTGCTCGATTCAACAACGTTTTTATAACAGCTTTTTTATCATTAACATGGCTGTGAGAATCAAACGTCAAATATTTATCCGTGTGTGTACTTTTTCGAAATACTTTCACAGCAATGTTATCAGATGCGGTACTGAGTAATTCTGTATCTAAAAATGCAATTGTTTGACCTCCGTCTCCATTCACAACAGGCATTTCAAATTTTCAATCGTAAACTGGATATGAGGGTTAATGGAGTTTATTCAGTGGTTGATCAGAGTCCAAAGTTCTATTGGTAGCAACGATGTAAATAATTTCAGCCAAATTTGTCTATTTCGTGAGAAAAACCATTGGAATCTACGCCTACGTTCATATATCAGTCTTAAATTTACCAAAAAAAATTGCTGTGTAATGATGACCAACCACCTTGACTACCAGAGGATGACCCACTGCCACTGGTACTCAGATACGGTAAAGGAAATTGAAGCAAGACGCTGTGAAGTGGAAACACCATGTTTCTCATGTTCGTGAAGGATTATTTTGTGGTTGAAAATACCTGCTTTCTTCGATAAATTTGGGTCCAATTTCGGTTTGTTTTAACCTGTTTTGATTCTCCAGGACAGCATGAGTAAGTACACTAGCTATTCTGTGGTTCTAGACGTTTTGTGGTTGTAAACTATTGACACAACACCACTCTTTTTGAAAGGCGATGCAAAGGTCCTGTTCGACTATGATGCCGAAGCTGACGACGAATTAACTCTCAAAGAAGGAGATCTTATACGGAATATTGAGAAGAAAGAAGATGGCTGGTGGGAAGGAGAGCTACACGGAAAACGGGGAATGTTTCCTGAGAATTTTGTAGAGGAAATTAAAAAACCTGTCGAAACAAAAAATACTGAAGTGAAACCAGTTCCTGACAAAAATGGTAAGTTGCTCGACAGCTCGAGTCAGCAATTCTAGACAAATTATCCTAGACAAGTAACTTAATATTTATATCCAAACACTTGCCCAAAAAGGGAAGCTATCTTACACTTCAACTATATCAAAATATACTGTATTTATATAAAATATCCTGACAAATTAAACCTAAATTTGGATGCCAACGTTAATAGACGTTGGTGATAAGGCAAAGCGGAAGTAAATTTTAATGTACAAAGTGAACTTAATTTTGATTAAATATCTTTTAAACTAGGTTTAAATCACTTTCTACAGTATTTTAATAATATAGTTTTGCGTAAAAATATTTTGATATGTCGCCCAGTTTGAAGGCAAGCATTAGAAACAATTAGAAACACATGGTTTCATATTTTAAAATCTAGGCGCATATTTGTCTTATTAATATCAATTCCGTCATTTATACAGTTCCTTATTTTAACCAATTACTCGCTGGCTTTGGAAGCTAATATTATTAATTCAAGCACTTGTAGATTCGAGTCTTAAATGTTTTATAGTAGAAACAATTTGCAGGTTGCTAACAACATAGTAACAACATTTTGGTTTACTTTCTCTATCACATTTTATGCTCTATAATTGCGTAGTTTGTTGATAAGAATACAGGGGAAATCTGAAATAATATTGACATTGAAACTGCATAAATTATAAGACATATTTTGTCCAATATTGCCTGTTTTGTACGTTGGAATCTCAAGAGGCTGATCTTTGATTTGCGAAATTTGTTTACATGTTAATTCCAAATATAGTTGGGGTAAATTTTTGCATTCTGTGATGCTGGCTTTGATATTGTATAGAAAATTTGGCTGAAAGGATTTGTATATGGTGGTTCAAGTTTCTCCAATTAATCATGGCAACATGTAAATGGTTGATATTTTCATTATGTATGTGTTATATTATGTTTGATGATGTGATTTATAATTCATCCGCTTAGGTTGTGTGCTGTAGTAACAAGGTGTAATGTAATCTGCATACATTCCAGCCAAAACAAATCCTGAACAAATACATCTTTGAAATTCCAAAATATGGATTATAACGGAGACAACAGTTTATATCTATTGATAAAATTTACAACCTTACAAATTTTGACTTGATCTCAATCCATATCACAGATTTTCGACAGGCATTCTTCAGACTTGTATAAAGACATGTACTGTAAATTGATCCACATTCTTAAGTTTGATTGATTAACCATTAATCCCTCTTAAGATCTTACTTTGGTGGGTAAAATGGTCTGGCCTTTGCAGTAGAAAAAGTAATGGGAGGCCGATATGTTTGAATAAGTTTCGGTGGTAATCAAGTAGTGAATGAGTAATGAACTAAAGTAGATACATCATTCATCAGTAATCAATCATGATCTTACTGTTGTATTTTGTACATCCATTAGTCAGTTTAAATCTTATTAAAATATGTAATATTAAATTGATGTACTGATGATACTGTAATTCAGACAGGATGGCCAAGTGCCAAGAGTACCTAAAATATTTAATATCTCTCTTTGTGGTAACCTCCTTGCCAAATATCTTTGGAATTCCTTAGAAATACTTGTACTGTATTCATAGAAAAGTATTAAAATGGAAATCAGAAAGTCGGGGCTACATCAATACAGCAATAACATGTATAAACAAGCATGAGTAGTAAACTGTGGCACTTCAGGGGGTGAGATGAGTATCTGCAGTGATTTCAGGGGGTGGGATGTGTATCTGCCACGAGAAAGTTGCATGCAGTCAACTTGTGTCAATTGTTTGGCAATGGACTTGCCAACAGTTAACCCCTGCTGATGGTTGGGGGGTTGGGGCAATTTTTCATACCTCTGTGTGTTAGTGTTGCACCAGCTATATAAGGTATAACCTGTTTGTTTCAAAGTTGATATAACATTTAACAAACGTTTGTGCCATCTGACGTAATCGACTTTCAAGAGCATCTACAAAAAAATTAAAACCAAAAAAGAAAATGGAACAGGTCTACTGTACCTGAGTTTTGCAACATGAAATAGGTTAAGCTAGGGCCAAACAAATACCTGGCTAAATATGACTTTCTATTGATGTAGTTGTAAATGAGAAAAGCAGCATGGCCAAAGTAACATTTGACTACGAGGCAGAGAATAATGATGAACTCACTCTGAAAGAAGGAGATATGGTCAAAGTTCTAGATCAAGAGGAGGAAGGATGGTGGAAAGGAGAGTTGAATGGAAAGATTGGAGTTTTTCCATCAAATTTTGTTGAATTAGTGAAAGGGCCTCCTCCAAGCACTGCTGAACCTCAACCAGAACGAGATCTGCCGAAAGAACCAGGTATAGCTGCCATTTCTCTCTAGACAGTGACCAAGTTGGTATTGTGATTCCGACTAGACAGATAATTTGATTAATTAACTAGACTCATGGGCAGATTGTCTGACTAATCCATTGAGCACCAGCACTCTTCCCTTGACAAGTAAAATCGTCTGGCATTAGACAGAGTAAAATAATAAAGTATTGTGCATTGGGGGCACAGTGCAATTTAATGGGTCATTTGTTGGGTAGTTAGGGAAGGACCTTCAATTAGGAGTGCACCGATTTTTTAGAGTTCCGGTTCCGGCCGGAACTAGTAAAAAAAGCATGGCCGGAACCGGAACTCTGTTGTTTTCAGAGAGATAGAATATCAAATGTTTTTGTGTCTAACAAAAGGTCACAGTAGGAAGAAATTTGGACTATGCAAGGGAAATGTACACTATTAACACTTCATTATGATGTTTAACGTTTGTCAATCTTTTTATTCTAACATTTGCGAGCTCTCTCCTTTATGACTTGAAGTGTCTGCCTGTCTGGCAGCGGACAAAGTAACATATGACTATATATGGCTTAATAAATTAGTTCCGGTTCCGGCCGGAACTTTTTTCCAGTTTCGGTCGGATCCGGTTCCGGCCGGAACTTAAAAAACTGGTTCCGGTGCACCCCTACCTTCAATGGACCATTTGCATTATAGACTAAATTTTGATCTAGACAAAAATTTCATCACAGCTTGAAAGAGCATCACAACATTAGTAATATTCCGAAGTTTCGTTTGCGAAATGTTGTAAAATGCGGATAATATAGCCTTGCGAAATTTGAAATTTTCAGTCATTTTGTATTACAAACGGGAAATTGATGCCCCAACACTCGATTGGGCTGTCAATTTCCCGTGCGTAATACAAAATGACTGAAAAACGGCAAACTTCGCAAGGCTATATTATCCGCATTTTACAACATTTCACAACGAAACTTTGGAATATTACTAATTTTGTGATGCTCTTTCAACCTGTGATGAAATTTTTATCTAGATCAAAATTTAGTCTATAATGCAAACGGTCCATTGAAATGTCAAAGTTCTCCTTGTATTTTCCAGGTAGTTGCATCCCTATCAATCTGAAGCTTTTTTTTATCATGTATACTAAACATCCTCTGTAAATTTCCACAGCAACTGGAGAGAAAAAAGCGAAGATGATGGGTGGTTTGGGATTGGGACTCACTCAAGATGCTCTATCAAAGGTCAAACTTAGGAAAAGTCCCGCAGGTGGTGGCGGAAATAATATTCAAAAACCTGAAAAACCTTCAGAGCCATCTGAATTACCTAAAAGGGTAAGACAATTAATCTGTTTTGTACATGGCGATTACCCCATTGTATGAGTACCAGATCCGCAATCTCACCTTGATGAGTAAAATGGTCTAGTTTTAGACAGAGTAAAATAATAAAGTAGTGTACATTAGGGCACAATGCAACTTAATGGGTTAATACAGTCTAGTTATTGGGCATTATGCATGTGTACCTGAGTTCATGAATGTGTGAAACAAATGTTCCACAGTGGATAGTTTTCTATGCTTTTCAACAATGTTGTGTAATCATGATTTTTTTGTGTTGGTGTTATGTACTCAGGTGAATATGACGTTTGTGATGTTACTCTGAGTGTGTATCCACACCGGGCAAGCTTGAAAAATATGCCTGCTCACCGTGGCCAGGCATATTTTTCAAGCTTGCCCGGTGTGGATATACACTCAGAGTAACATCACAAATGTTGTGTAAATTTATGTTCACATGTATGTATTTGTTACAGCTTTCTATGAAAAGAAATCCACCGAAAATACCAGAATCTGACAAGCCACCAAGTAAGTTTTGTTCATCTCCACTGTGTTTTTCTATGCAACTCTTATATCCTGTGCTCTATTCATTTTGATCGTATGCCCTATGGAGAAATGGCAATAAATGTGTTAATTTACAAATTACAGTTTGGATGTATACTGTACCATAAATAAGTTATTTTAGTAGAATGATCTTGATAGGCTCTTTACGGTTGGCCAAAAATACTTTAGAACAATATGCGACTAGACACATGAATTTGTAAGACAAATGCACTGCACCAGGAACTGCAGGGCCGCAGGTCCAATTCCTGCTAGAGGAGCTGTAGTTGCATTTTTTGCAACTGTTCCTGGTTAAATCCAAATAAATGCATAAATTTACACACAAAATTTCCATCTGCAAAACGTTCCACTCACAGGTTCCATTCCTGCCAAGGGCTTTTATGTAGTTGCATTCTTATCAGCTTCTGCCCAAGTTTCAGTCAAGTCTTCACTGTATGTATACATGTCAGGGCTGAAATAACGTTCCCAATATTCTCGATCATGGTGATTTTCAGTCATAACTTTCCCTGGTTTTCAGATTGAAAAAACCCTGCTTTTCCGCCAATCATAAGCAATTTCATCAGGGATGGATCCAACATGATCTGGTAGGGGGGGGGGGTGCTCTGCCAGCTCTGGTGCCGAGTTGTGTCGGTCATGTGTGCCGCCCGCCCATCAACTTGCTTGACTACTGCAAAGTCTTGCTTGGCTACTGTATTTGAATTGTAATTGTTGTTCACAGTTTGCTTATCATCATCATGTGATTACTCAAATTACTGTGTCTCATTTTTTCTCTAATATTTTTTTGCTTTATCATGAAAAATAGCACCCCCCTGCACCCCCTCTAGCCCCCAGTAAATCCATCCCTGAATTTCTTGCCAATCATTGATTGTCTGTTATTTCAAGCCCTGGTATGTGTAGTGTTTCATCCATGAAAAACCATTTCACTTTCAGAAGCAGCTTCTAAAGGAAAGGAACGTGCTGTTGTTGAATTTGAATACGAAGGAGAACAGAATGATGAACTGACATTACATGTTGGCGATGTCGTCACAATTCTTGAGAAAGATGTGAATGAAGGGTGGTCCAAAGGAGAACTGAATGGGAAAATTGGATTATTCCCAGATAACTTTGTAAAATTATTGCCACCAGAACAACCTAAAAAGGTGAGAAGAAATGACCACATTTATTTAGTCTTAATTTTGTTGTGTGGGTCTAATCATCTGGTCTAATCAAATGGATTTAATCATCCGTTGATAACTCTGGTCATTTTGTACCCAAACGCCAGTCGCACTCCTATTCCAATAGCTCAGTGTTCAGAGCACTCTCCCCTGGGTTCCAGAGGTTCTTCCCCGCTCACAATGGGGAAAAGAGGTTTGGCTTCATGTATCCCCTATTGCCCCGCAAGTGTGGAAGAACCTCTTGGCACCCAGGGTACGTGACATTTGAACATATGCTCAATTATTTTGTCTACTAAATTTCTGGAAAGACACGTGAAAATCATAGACATGTTCTCGAGTTAGACGCAAATAGTTCAGGCAGAAATCATGAGTAACTACAGACAGAAATCTTGACTGTTTATTGTATACTGTTTGGACCCCTTCGTTTATTAAGAGCCTGTGTTATTGTCGGTTTAAATTATGCAGCAATATAAAAAGTGGAAAATTTATTATCCCATTTCCCACTTGTTTTATAACTCTACTTCGTTCTTCTTAAATTTTTTAACATGAATATAACTGGTTTAAGTTGTTTGCTCAGATCAAAGACAAATAAAGATTTACTGTAAAATCTAAAGCATATAATTATTGTTTTTATTTTAATCTCTAAGTGAGCATACCGCTTGCATTGTCTCGAATATTAAATACGGTCGGAGACTCGAAAGCAATTACGCCCACAAAGAGTCGTAAACATATCATATTACAAAGCCAGTGTGAACAGCGAGCAGTGAAGCTCAACTTTTATCTTGTTTCAGGAGCCAGAGGCGATGACAAAAAGTAAGAGTACATCAGGTGATTTTTATATATTTTCTAGAAATCCTTATACTTTGTGTAGTAAATTTGGTGTAAATGTAAGTCGTTGTATTGCAGCGATCAAGTGATCATTAATATTCCTGTAGTCAGGAAGTAATGCTCCTTGTAATTTTTTTGTTTGATTTTCTCGTGTTGGTTTATGATCCCTTTTCGTTAGCACGTTAGCGATATTTCCTGGTCGTGTGGCTTGCCTCAACGTTTTTGCTACCTTTAAGCAAGCGTTTTGTAATATATCGCATTTGTTGCTCAATCTTAATTTTATTTGTTATTTCTTGGCTTTGTTTGCACTGCATAAATTAATAACTCTTGTCTCTGTTTTCTAAGCATTTACATATATAGCTATCATTTTATCTATATATATATATATAGTTTCATATAAAAACTATGTCACTAACTAAATGGTTAGGGTGATTATATTCAATGAATGTTTTTTCTGGTTGAGGGTTTTTGAAAAAAAGGTGTGAAAATGAATGAGCAACCTGTCTATACGGAAGTATGCTTTTTAATGTGGTTTTTGTTTGCTAATACTTCAAACAAAGTTACAAGGGAACTAATGCAACCAGATTAAACTGAACTACGTGCTCAACCAACTAAACACGTTTTTGTATACATACGTTAATTACAAACAGAAAAATTTAATCTAAATTTTCTATATGTAATAATCACCTCAATAAATTCTATATTATAAACAGCATTATTTGCATGTATTCATGTAGTTTTTCGATATGTACCCTTCATATGATTTTCGCTTGTGCGTATGCATTGTGTATAATGTTGAAGGAATTTTGTTTATGTTTTTCCGAGCGAAAACTCTTCATAACTCATACCAAACCAGCTGCGAAAATAGTCCTATACAGTAGCACAGAATACTACACAGAAGTCCATCTCCTTTGTTTTTTGTGTAAGCGCTATTCGTCATGATTCGTCACTCAGCAAGTACCGTAAACAGAAGCAGTCACCCCCCTGGACGAACGCCATTTTGAGTATTTCCAGGGGGGTGACTGCTTCTGTTTACGGTACTTGCTGAGTGACGAATCATGACGAATAGCGCTTACACAAAAAACAAAGGAGATGGACTTCTGTGTAGTATTCTGTGACAGTAGACCCTCAAGCAAGAATCGAACCTGCTGATTGGATAGCATTTTGTTCAGTGTTCTTCACTTCTTCCATATAGGCGTATCCCAAGTCCGCGTCAGAATTATTTCCCTGTAGCTTTCTTGGCGAGTATAAAGATCTTTATAGTTACTCTACAAATGTCAAAGCTACAAGTATTGTGTTTATCGCATTAAAACAAGACAATACATATATCGGCAGATTTGCACCGTAATGTGAATGCTTGTCGAAGGTACTCTCTGCATTCAGAAATAACCACAATGAGAAGTACAGAGGGGCGGGAGGGCGATCATAGGGATGCATCGAATATACAGACAGGATAGTAAAATAATCTTAAAATAATCTTATTATCCGGCCGGATATTTTTCAAGTATCTGGCATATCCGGGTGGACAGGGAAGAAGCTCTATCCGGGTAACTCTAGCTTCAGATGACGAAAGTCGAACACACATCAGCACAATTCTAATTTTGGACAGCCAAGTTACAGAAGACCTTGGTCTAATGTTTCGAAAATTTTGTAGATCTTTCTAAAAAACCTCCACTGCCAGTCAGTGATGACAGTGTAGATGCAAAACCAAATCGTCCTGAGTTTCCCAAATTAAAGAAAACCAACACAGATCGTCCGCCACCACCTAGCGCTGTTAACCAAACAGAAATACCAGTCAAACTGAAGCCTGTAGGTAACCCACTAGATGATATTACCAAGAAGTCAGAACCACCACCCCTACCAGACTCCAAACCTTCGGGTATTGAGGATAGGCCAAAACCACCCATCAAGAAATCACCACCATCACTACCGAAGAAACCAGATAAACCAAAGCCACCACAGGATTTACCAGTAGATCGACCACTCTTGAAGCATGTGAATGGTGTGGATCCAACCAAGAGACATTCAACACCATTCCCTCCCACCGAGAAAGCTTATGATGTTAACACGAAGAGACATTCCCATGGCGCAGGTACGTGTGGGGATAAAAATCTCGTACCCAAGGCCCGCCCTCCCGATAGATAAATATTGTGTTGATAAGAAAAAGGGGCGAGGGGTCTGGGTACGAGTGGTTGGGGGTAAACAATTATTTATACTAGATAACTTTATAAGAGCTGCTCTGTGTGTTTTACTGTATGTCAATTCGAATACATGGAATTTACAGAGACAGAATCACAGAAAGGCACTGCAAATAAGTTTGCGCTTTCCAAATTACTCGGCCTGCTCCAAATAATTCAGCCTGCTCCAAATAACTCCACACTCTTGTAATAGGTCAGCCATCTTCAGATAACTCAACCTTAAATGATCGCTCTTTATATAACGCAGCTGTCTGTAAATCTAAACTAATACGAAATATGTTGTCTAGACCTTGGTGTAAATCTGAACGACATCAAATCGAGTGCTGTCTTGCATCCTCTAACCTCAGATAGACCAAAAAATCCAGCCAAAAATCCTCCGACTAAGTACGGAAAACCACATTCTCCGGTAAGAGATCTGTTTCAACTTTTACTTATTAGCCTTACCAATGAGTTTTGTATGATTTTAACTTTTCTTTTTACATTTTCACATTTACAGAAGAAAACAGTCGCTCCTGAGGTAAAGTCCTACATGATCTTAAGATCGTGAAGTTTATAAATTCACATGCATTTTTTTTTCTATTCAAGTCATTAGTTGATGAGCTTTCGTTAATCATGTAGATACCCCACACGACTTGGCCACCAAAAGAAGAGAGAGAAGCCAGGAAACCGATGCAAGAAAGACCAATTGCAGCGGAAAAGGTTCGTATTATGTCTCCTAGCTATGCTTAAGGCTGATTTTCATTGCGACAGTCGCTGAGAATTTCATTGAGTTCGAGCTAAAAGATTTAGGGTTGAAATCTGTAGCCAAAAACAGGGCGGGGTATGTTAGCTACCAAATATAACCATTGCAGTGTTTCCTTAATATTATGAGCTCATGCATGGCATTTGCGAGTCAACCAAAACGAGCAGAATGTGGAATAATCACATTATAAGCAAAATTTTCTATGGGTCAATAAGTGCAGTGAGTCTATTCCACCCATATTTCGCGAAGGGTGTCGCTCAAAAATCTCTCTGTCTATTTCCAGCCTCCGAAACCAGCAATCCCAGAAATGGCAAAACCTTCAACGAAACCCTCTGAACCCAAAGTTGATTCAGCTGAGGTTAAGAAGCTGCACGACGAAATAAACACTCTGAAAAACACTCTTGAATCATTCGCGAAGCAATTTAAAGAACACGTACAAAAAAGCGAGAAGCAATTGCAAAAAATGGAGAAAAAATTTACGGACGAAATAGAAGACTTAACGAGAGAACTCGACGAAGAAAAAAAGCTTCGATCTGCTGTCGATGTCGAAGTGAATAGATTAAGAAAATTAATTAAGAATCAAGTGAACTCCTAACGAATCTTATGGCGTGGAAATTGTTTTAATCATGTTCTAATTGTCAGTCGTGTGTGAGGAACGAATGGTTAATACGAGATATGGTGCACGGTTTGTAATTGATGTTTCGTGTTCATATTCTTTTTGAATTATAGTGATTTATAAATTTTGATAACATATGTTAACCATGGGTTAATAAGTATTGATAAGCAATGCATTTTATATTATAATATAGTTACTGTAATAAATATAAATAGATTATATTACTGTCGTGTACAGAGTATATATGTGGTCGTGGACAAGGGGTGGTTGTACAAAACTTTTAACAACTTTTTAGCTACCCATGTTGCCCAGTACTTAGCTAACCCTTAATGCACAGTTTTTTTAAGAACCACAGAACCGTTTCTAAACAGCCATGCCATAAACAGGCAAGACTCTAATTTGCATAACAATAATATGGAGAGTTAGCGTATTTGAACTGCTGTGTGGTCTTTGTTGTCTTACCAATGCTATTGTTCTCTGTTCTCATCAGTCGCATACTCAGGCCTAGAAAATATATTTCTCTTCGTGGCAGATCAGTTTCAAATGTCTTGGGACAGATGCCACAAAACCTTTGAATTTCAACAAGCGTCAATGAGGTCAATCCCCCCGCCCCCTATTCAATGTTGTGTGCCATTTCTCGTCAGATTTGATGTGTTTGGTTTAAACAACATTGATTGGGGAGGGGAGGGGAGGGGAGCGGTATTGTGTGTAACAAACTGTAATGATCTACTTACAATCTAAAACTACATGTGTCCCAACAACTTTTGAAAGTCATTCAGCACAATCCAAAAATAAACAGTCAAACATAAAAGTTCCTGATGCTTGTGATGTTACTCTGAGTGTATATCCACACCGGGCAAGCTTGAAAAATATGCCTGACCACGGTGGGAATCGAACCTACGACCTTTGGAATACCAGCCCAATGCTCTGCCAACTGAGCTACGCGAACAGATCGGTTCGAGTATGTGATATTTCGGAACAGATCTAGTTCCTTCGATATCAATGTGTATCTAATAGTCATGAGTACATTACACCAACATAAAACTTCCTGCATATGTAGATCTCAGGGAATGGCGAGGGTGCCAAAAACATACGTTATAGCCACAAACCTGGCTATAAGGTATGGGGAACACTGGCGTACCTTATAGCCACAAACTGTGACTATACCTGTGCTGTACATTCTGATAAACTTCACTACAAGATGTGAGAACATTTCCTGCGAAGATATTTTGTTAAAGATTTTCTGGCAGCAATGCTACTGGCGCTGCCTGCCATTTTCCAGCACTGCACATATTGACCGATTGTCAGGGACGCCGGAACGATGTGAAGGCAGGGGGGGGGCAGATTTTCGTGAAAGGGCACTTTTGAATTGATATATACTAAGAGATGTTTGCAAAACATCGGGAGTTAACTTCGCCTAATCATGTTTTCTATTTATCGGATGATAGGAGTGTGAGGGGGTTCTCCGCCAGGCGATTGTGCTATTCTTGAAGCGAATTCATAAAAGAATTGGCGAATTGCACTACATTTCTGACAATTCGCTATTTCGCAAGGCAATCCTTTAAATTGAAAGGGCCCCCTTGCCCCCCTTGCCCTTCCTGGTAAAGGGCAACGTTTCCCAAAAAAATAGGTGAAATAGGAAAGTTAGAAATTTTTCATTCCGCAGTCTCAATGAGAAGCAAAAAAATGTTTCTGAATTTTTTTAGCTATTTGATGCGAAGACTTCTTACTAATGAGTAAAGCTTCTACTTCTTGATTTAGAATTATCCTCATCTCTAAGTCTCTGCCATACCCCTGACTGGACCAAGTTTAGTTTTCCCGACGGCACCCGAGGCAGACTCCCGAACGAAGAAGCCCTAAGTTTGCGCGTACAATTTGGAGATAGTGTACAACACGATTTCTTTTCACAATCATTCTGTGGGGGAAGAAATAACCTTGCAGTTGATATAGTACCGTTTTTCAGACTAACATTACTGCTTCTCCTTGTATCCACAAATCTAGAATCTGCAAAATCAGGATGCTGTAATCCAGGAATTACATCAAGTCTACGATTTGTATCCTCAAATGTAGGACTCCTATCATCATATCTAGGACTTTTGTCTTCAAATCTAGAATTTGTATCCACATATCTGGGTTTTCTGTCTTCAAATGTATTACGTATACTCTTCTGTCTAGGATTTTCCAAGGTAGATTCGTAAAATGTTGGAACTATGTCGTCAATTCCAGACATGAAACCTTTGAATCGAAAATTTATATCTTCACACCGAGGACGTGTGTCCTTAGGTCTAGGGTTTTCCATGTTTTCATTTGTATCTGATAGACTGCAGCTTTGATCTTTTGTTCCAGGGTTTTTATCTTCAATTCTCGGCATTTTATCCATTTCTTCAGATGATAAACATTCTTCACCAGGTATATGTAAATATAATAATTCTGTATGGCCCAGTGCGTATGGATAGGTCCATGTTCTTTCATGGAATTGACCTTCGGCTTCGACCGTTTCTTCAAGCTCCTCTTTGTGAAGTAATCCAATGTTATCAAATTCAGGAGTTCTTCTCGATTGTTTCGGTGACCAGGTATTAGCTCTGAGACGCGAGACGAACGATTTTGCTTTATCTTTTTGAACTGTAATCCCAAGTTTTTGTAATCCTGAATTTTTTGATCTTTCACTATTATCATTCTCGCAGGCATCGTTGACAACTAGTTGCGGGATTTCCAAAGGAGATTTTTTAACCAAGTCTTCTTTTGGTAAACATGACGGAATATTTTTGTACTTCCTTGATTTAGGTTGTTTTCTATTTTCTTTCCTTTTATCCAGAAGCTTGTTGGAACTATTTTCGCTTTCAAATGAAATGTTCAAATCTTCAAAACTAACTTTTATCGCAGTTGTTCTTGATTCCATTTTTTGCAGTCTACTGGTTGCCGTGCTTGGCTTTGATTTTTGCAGCTATTTAAATGTTTTTTTGTTTTATTTATACATGAACAATATATACAGCAGATGGCTTTTTTCAAACGATAACAACGCTCCCAAACAGTGTTGTTTGTTAGGAGATTGCGTTCATTAAAATAACACTTACGCAACATAATTTGCAACAAATAACAAGTTCAATTTCGTATTTGGTGTTCAAAAATACAATCGCACACTCCCATGCTTAAAATGAAATTCCTATTTGATCAAAATATTTACATAGAATAATCTACATTGATCATGGTTTTTATCACAGAATCTGCGACAGTGTAAATAACATTACATGATTGGCAAAAGTCCATGTTTTCAAAGGCAAAATGCATATATGTAGATTTCAATATATTCAGTAATGAAATAGACATCTCCCACGCGTACAACAGAACCGCCTCTAAGTGGAGTACATAGAAATTTTATACTTGCGCCAACGCCAAGATGGAGTGGGCGAATAGCTTATCAAAATCATCAAACACCGGTTCAATATTTTTGCCCACATTGATGAAACAGAAAGGAAAATTTACAAATTTAGTCTTTCAAGCTTTACAAATAGACATAGCTTACAAAGTGCGCTCATATAAAGTTTCTCTAAATAAACATAGTATTGCACACATGCGCTGTTTTTAATTGTATACTACTATACTGTACTTTTTTAAAGAGGAAATTTTTTTGCGATGAAAAGCGTTCAAAACCTAAAATCGTTGTTGCGTTCTCTCAAGTTTTAGCTTTTTATTGCCTATTTTATACAACTAGCTACCTAAGTTGACAACAATATTGAATAAATTTTCGTTTTATCAGATACTTTTGGTTGAAAATTTCTAAGCTTTAGTAAGTAAAAAAATATGAAATGTAATTCCAAATCCGATGAATGAACTGCGCATGTCACACACACTTGGGATCATCCTTTGTCATGCCTGCAGGTGCAGCCTCTCATCCCCCTTCAAGCGCCAGGGACAAGGCTGCTGCAGGTGTAACACCCAAGACACTAATTAAGAGGGCCTGAATGGGGTTAACTGACTAGACATTTGCCTGAATTTTTGACTGACAACTGACAAAATATCCTAACTGATGAAAAAATGACGAGTCAGCTTTTTTGCAGTATAAACTGACTACTGACAGCTTGCAATATATCACACTGACAACTGGCTTAAATTTTAGCTGACAACTGACACCCAAAGACCCTCGATTAAGTATGGATCGGAGACCTTGGTGAAGTGAGGACTCAGTGCCATGCAGGCTATCCTTACAAAAAATCCAATTGGAAAATTGGAACCAAATGGGATTCCAATAAGAATTTAAATTTTCCTATTGGAATCCCTTGAATTCCTGACAAAAAAACTTATTCCAATTGGAATTAGATTTTTTCATATGGGCATGATTTTTCCATGTCTATGCATGTATACTAGGTAATATTGGTACTAAGTCAAATCTAAAAGAAAGTGAGATTTTATTTGTTTATACCAAGCGTTTACAACCAATAAGTGTATAGTGTTAATATATGTATGTCTTGAGAGTTTTTAACTTGGATCCCCTAGCAAGAAGTGAATAGTTTTAAATAATGTATGTCTTGAGAGTTTTAACTTCGATCCATATTATCTTCATGACGAATTTGTCTTGAAGCACCAGGTGCTGTCATCCCCTTTTGTGACGCTCCCTTGTTTGTGCCCATCTGCAGCCCAATTACATTCTGGCCAGCTCTCAATTGCTCGTCAGTGAAGTTTCGAACATTTCGTGTGGATTCACCTCCAGTAACCTGATAACAAAATAATGTGAACTTTAAGTTAAATTTTACTGAATCTCGTCTCACTATTTTCCTTTTCAGAAACAGTGGTTGCAGGGCAAAGTTTATTGAATTTCCAACAAAACGTTTGAATTCATAATGCTGTCAAAATTGCAATTTCCACCCAAATGCACCTCACTTCATTATTTTACTCTGTCTAATGCTAGACGATTTTGCTCATCAAGGAGAGAGTGTTGCTTAATGGCTGCAAATTAATTTGTACACAATTTTTACCTTTCTTTTGATTGCCAAGATTCCATTAATAACCTAAATAAAAATAGATATCACTACAGGTCAAGTCGTATGTTCCAGGTCAGCAATTTAGTCACCCGATACAGATACAGTCACCTGGTAATGCATTAAGTATTACCGGTAGTCGCACAACCATGCGCATCGGCTATGCTGTGATATTATTATCATGTTTACATAAATCTTTTATTATTATTGTTAACACATAAATAGTTTGAGAAAAGTAGTAAAGTACTTACCTGTGGTATATTCTGGGCTTCATACAAGTCAACAGTTTGGAATAAATCATTCTTGGCAACTCCCAATGACTCTGCAACAGCCAGAAAATTGCCAATGTTTTCCATCTAGACAACAAAAAACATGCATTGTAAAGATATATATACAACGGATATAAAATATGATAATTAAAGGGCAGCACCCCTCAATACGCCACTAAATTGGATACATAAAATGAATTTCTTTGGCAGTTGGTCATACCATTTTAAAAGCCATTTTTGATTCATTAACTTTCTTAATAGATCCAGGTTTTAATGCATTTGCAAGTCTAAAACAAATTTAAATAACAAAATTCAGTTGAAAATACTATAAACTCACTCACCAATCACTATATGGTACAACAGAATGGTATCAATGCTTACTTGCACAAAATAACACCATCCTTCAAACATTCGTGCACACCTCCACTACAACTTATCCCTGTCTTGCTTTGGACAAAGTCTAAAGCCTCTCTTTCCAAGGCTGGATCAAATTTTGCATCTTTCTAAAAATTTAGTGAAAGTACAACCATGAGTTTTAAAAGTAAAAAAGGGTGTTGATGGGGTATATTGTGAGTCATGATTCACTCAATTTCGGTTACCGTCGGTCGTGAAAACACTAAAAATTTAGCGTGAATTGTGAGGAAAAAATACTGTTTATCGTTTCAGAACACTTTTCAAAGATTACTGTCAAAATACCAAAATGTTACTTAATGTTACCGTTAAAATACCAAAATTTTTACTGTTTACTGATTTTCAGACCCCCCATCTAGACCCTCGTAAAATGGTCATCGTACATAAAACATCAATACCTCCCCCACAGAGGAAATTGGAAGTTAACCCCCCTACCCTGTTCAGATGTCCAAATACACTTTACTGGAAACAATTTTTTTCCCCTCCCCCACTGGGCATCAGAAATGCCTCTGTGGGCGAAATTTGAAACTTTTGTGTAATGACCCAACGGTTGAAATAAAAAAGTTAGATGTTTGAACTACACCAAAGGGTCACAAGTAACCTGAGTATCAGGCCGTACTTTTTAGGGCACAGGCACGCCTGATCGTGGGCGAAGGGGAGAAAAGTACGGCCTGACACAAAAGTGGCATTTTGCCTGGTTTGTTCAGTCCAGAATCTGGACTGAGCGCTGATTGGCCGATTAGACAAACGATTTTTAAATCTGTCATTTGATTGGCTGGTGCTAATTAGATTATACTATTGTTGTTGATATATTTTATAACGATCACAACTACAATTATAGCCGGCCCACTAAACGGCTGAATTTAAATTAAATTAAAACTGCAGTAAAATTAGAAAATAATCACAAATTAGCGAAATATATTGCAAATGTAGCTTATATTAAATCGCCATCAGATTGCACTATCGACTGACGTATAGTTATAAAGTATACTTTATAATTATATGTCAGTTTGTTGATAAATACGGCAAGCGCCATGTAAAGCTCATTGTAGTCACTGAAACCTCTGCGGAGGAGAGAGCAATCGGGTGGCGATTTAATATAAGCTACATTTGCAATATATTTCGATAATTTGTGATTATTTTTGTTAATTTTATAAGTTCATTGCAGTTTTAATTTAAATTCAGCCGTTTAGTGGGCTGCCTATGCTAAAATTAGATTGTTGTTGTCGTTGTGTGAAATTTAAATTTCTCCTGCGACATTTTGATTGGATACTAAATATAAACTTTGCTGTGGGCGGAAAGCGATCAGGTTAAGTTTTGTGTCAGGCTCTATTTGTAAAATAGAGCCTGATACTCAGGTTAGGTCACAAGGGACTATGGTAGCTTGGTGTCTACAGTAGACTGTTACCTTTTGGTGCCTGTGTGGGTTTGTTGGAGTTTGAAAGCTGGTCCTCAATATGAAAATTTATATTGAGGCAAATAATTTAAATTCTAATACATTAATAATACAATTAATAACTACAACGCTTGTTTGTTACAATATTTAGCCCTAATTTGAACACTGGAAGTATATTGAAAATGAAATGCGCTTTTACGACAGTAAAAAATATATATGCATGAATGTTCGGAGATTAATGGATTACGAAATTACAGCAAATTTTAATCCATATACAACCGACAAGTTGGAACAGTTCTCCATGTAATATCCCTTTAATACTCTTACCTTTTAGTACTAGATAATAAGTAATTAAGAAACTTTATTCACTTATTAAACGACCCACTAGGGCCGAGGTATTTATATCAAAGGTTAATATCTTCAAAAGTTGACTAAAGCTATTAAGGTTTCGTATTACACAATCTAGTCGCTCAGTAATAGCATTGATGACAAATGTATTCTTCTGACCTTTTTCTGGAGCTCAGCCGTCATGCCAAAACCTTTAGGTCTTGAAGCCATCTTTAATTACAGAAAGATTTCGTTTTGAATGTCTAAACCCACTTTGTCTATTGCCAAGATGTTAAGCAATGATTGTTTAAATAGTTAGACAATTTATGCAAAACCCACGCCCAAACAATACCATTATTGACATACTTAGGTGCCACATACTTAGACGTTGATTAATTAATAAACCATAATCGTTATTTTGTACATACTGTATTTTTGAAAGCAACATTTCAGGCTTAAAGTTTGTACACTAAAAACATGGTTTAAAGGTCTTTAAGTAAATTTATCAGTTACAAAAGTGAAATTATGAGTAAAAAAGCAATATCAATAAGTTTCTAGAATGTTACAGCAGGAAATAGCCTCGGAAATACGTAAAAAATAACAGACACATGGAATATTTTAATATGTGTATTTAATATTCTGTACCTGGTAATTTATTCACCCAACATGAATTATAACCATGTATGGTAAAAAGATCAAAAATATCTATGGAGATTTTGTTGGTTGAAAGAGCGTGGGTCAATACAAATATTTTTGTAAAAAATTGGTTTTCCTTTCCAAAATATGCCTGTAAGTTATGTTGCCAAAAAATACTTGTTTATATATATCATTCCTAAAAATAACCATCCCTGCAAGTCTTTCAAAAATTGTACATGAAATGCTAGCAATTTAATATTGGTAGCCATTTTAGACATTTTAATATAGCCGCAATTATATACTTTAAAACAAAGTATGTCAGCAGGTATATATTTTTTGTTTGACAAAAATAGTTATAAGGTTAGCATGACTCATTACTATTGATCATAGTAAGTATTATGGTTATAAAATAGTAAAAATACTACATTGTTATTAATAATAAGCGGCAAATAATAAATCATAGATGATAGATACTATCATGGCATATTATAAATTTATACAATGAATATTGGGCATTTGTTCGAGTGTTCTAACAGGGATTAACATGCTGGGTGATCAGTGGCGGTGCCAGGGGGGGGGCAAGGGGGCAAATGCCCCCCCCAATTATTTTTGCCCCCCCCCCATTTTGCCCCCCCTCAAAAAAATTATTAGTCACTAAGAGCGACTAAAGGCTACACAAGCGTTCTGTCGTTATCGGAAAATGTATGGCTTATAAGTTGTCATTACTCATTAGTGAATGCGCATATACATGAAACTGTTTTTTACAGTTTCAATATTAGTTTGTAAATTTCTGAATGGTAAAACTTGCCAATACTCCAATAATACGTTTCAAAAAAAGACAAAAAAAAGCTTTAGTTTTGCAGAATTAAATTCTCAAACGTGTAAGGCAATAATAAGATGAAAGTATCACGAAATTATTTGAATAAACCACATCGCATATATGGGGGGCGAATATCTCAAAGAGGGGCGATATTCCTAGGGTATTTGCCCCACCCCCTGGGAGGCGATATTCCTAGGATATTCGCCCCCGGGGGCAATATTCCTAGGAATATCGCCACGTTTTGAGGGGGGTGGGCGAATTTCCTGGGGGGGCGACCTTTTTAAAAATTCTATCTTGCCCCCCCCCAAATTTGAGTTTGCCCCTCAAATGCCCCCCAAATTTGGAAGCCTGGCGCCGCCACTGTGGGTGATTAACATGCTTGGGTGAACTCAGACGAGAAAACTCACAGTCGCGTTTCCATGCAGCAGAGGTGGCCCTTATCGGCCACCGTATAACTGTCTGGTCATGTTTGTTAATTTGAGAGTTGAAACTCTGGAAAAAGTTGGAAACATAGTTGTGGAAAATGTTTTGATCAAATTTCAATTTTTATCGACCTACAAAATATTTTTTTAAATATTCAATTTTAGATTTGAACTGTGATGAGAATTATTTTAGTCTGTTTCATTTTTGGCCTACAAAACTGCTTTTTCGTGTGACAATTTGTTATTTTTGTATGACAATTTGGTACCCTACATTTCGTGGAGAAACACGCCTCTTTTTTATAATGATCCAACGTTTGTGTTAGAGACAAAAAATGTGCTTCCCAGGTAACAAAATATTTCTTAATTAATTAACAACTGCAGAACATATTTGTGATTTTTGTTCTAGAAAATTTTCTGATTTGCTCACCTTCAGGAAACATAGGTTGGAAACAATTATGTTTTACTGTAACAAAAATGTTTCAATTAGTTCTACCAGAGGCCCAATGGACTTCGACAATTCATAATTTAAACATTTTTTGTGGGAAAGATGGCCTTCATGGCAAATTCACCATAGCATTATAAACAGTGGAAATTCATGTAGGGAAATTTACAAAGCATAACCTCTAAACCACACTCAGGGTTGTTTTCCCCTGAAAAATTGCATAAAAGAATCAGAAGAACCTAATAGCTGGATGTGGCCTTGTATATTGATCAATTCTGATCTTTCAGAATCTTTTTGAACCAGAAGGCACAGCTAATCCAAAAGAACAATCACAGGTTAAACAGCTATTTCTTAGATCCAAAGAGTGGAAACTGCATGTCTCTACTAGGCCTGAATATTTGTATAAGAAATGGACTGACATAATATCCCCTGCAAGCAGAGCTTCATAGGGTAACTGTATAGGGAGTCTGGTCAAGTTTAATTTAGTCCAATAACTTGGCTTGATCAGTAGCGTAGCCAGTCCGATGATTTAGTTACGCTATGCAAATATTTTCATGTTCATTGACTGTGAAAACAATCAATTTCTAAAGAAATGAATAATGATAATAATTTTGAATTTGCATATAAGCGAGACTAAATTGTCGGGCTGGCTAAAACAGCCCCAAAAACTCAATCTTGAACTGAGTTTTGAAACTCAATCTTCTCATCAAAAGATTCTGTGCAGTAAAATGAAGTTGTTTGAGTTAAATTCATGACGTGTGCAAATTAGTTTTCAGTTGAAAACCCGAAAATTAAGTAAAAAGTGGCTGGAAATCATTTCACAACACAAGAAAAACATTAATGCATTTACTGTCTTTAACCAGTTTATAGTGTCCCTTGGTGCCCCTGCTTTAACACATTGCATCTCAACTACACTAAAGTAAGCACAGGTTTCAGCCTCCCGGTAGGGGGGGGGAAGGGGGAACAGCCGCCCCAGACCCTTAGTTGTTCAGTTAAACTCAATCCTTTCTGCAAAAACGGACCCAAGAGGAAGTCCTGAAAAAAACCCTGCCCACTGGTCGTGATGGCAAGTGAACAAAAAAGTTCATGCAGTCTTATTGGTCCTTGCTCAACATCTTTTATTCGTTCATTTATACCAGGTGTCTTTGAATGTCGGTGACCTTTCTGAACCCGAGGAAACAACAGAATTAAAAGCCCCAGAGCAAATTGAATCTGACCCATGCGAGAAGAAAAAATCTCACAAACATGAACTTGGAACGTTGTGGAACAGAATCATTGTAAGGCATAGTCCACACTCATCAACCTTATGGCTAAAGTACAAGAAAGTGATCTTAACATTTCTTCTCCTTATTGCACTCAGTGTGTACTGTGTGTTTGGGATAATGATTTCGGGTTTTGAGAAAGCAAAAGATCTGTTTGGTGTGCTGGTTTTCAGTGGTATTATTGTGGTGTATATTGTAATAAGAGATACATTTGGCAAGCAGATTAATGCCCTGGTAATAAAGCCAGTCAGCAAAATGATTGAAGAACATTGGAGCATTTTGAGATGGTATGTTTAATTAATTAAAATATACAACAGTTGTCAGCTCAGTCATTCAAAGCTATTTTCAGCTCATTACCTACTCCACACTTTCCGAAAAATGTCATCTGTCAACCAAACAATAACTTTCGACTGAATTAGAAACAGGTTTTGAAAAATTTTTAAATTTTGGTAAAGTATAGTAAGTAGTAATTAAGGCATAAAAAATACCTGTGGTTCCGGTTTCATGTCGTGAAAAAATTAGGATACTACTAGGTAGGTCTGATAGAAGCCAATGAGGTAGGTCAGTTAGAAGCCCCATGGGGTGGGGACACAAAATGATTCTTCCCAAGAATTATTCCTTGATTGCATGAAACACTCAGACTATAGTTGCAATCATTAGAGACAAGCAACAATCTGACTGTATTATTTTGCTCTATAATGCAGATGATATTGAGCACTCGCTAGCCTTTTGTTGACCAAAACACACTTATTTTTAATAATTGTATTTCAAAAATTATATTTTTCCTCTTTCTAGGTTCATATATGGTACACTATTGGTGTTAATTTTACTGTGGTTATTGCTTGATACCATCAAGGATGCCAAAAGATTACAGTCTGTTGCAGGATTGCTTGTGTTCGTCTTTCTGGCATATCTTGTATCAACCAACAGAAGAAAGGTAACCATCCTTAATAAAAAAATAGGTATGCAAGTGTACAATTAATTTTGTACTGTATACCTATCTGGACCAGTGATCCAGATGTGGGTTATCTGATTCTTGGAGGGGGAGGGGGTTATAAAAAATAATTAAATTTTGGACCCTGAATAAAAAATGGCTTACTGATTATAATTTTAAGTGATATCTAGAAGGACAAAGTTGAGAGTAACAGGAAACAGCAGTTGGATTTCTTTCCATAATTTTCCTTCATCCTCCTGCATTTTATCCTTTATTTAATTTATTAATTAAGAAAGAAAAGTTTGTTTAGTTTGACATACTATTCCATTACCCTATGGCTGTAATATAGCTGTAATGTATTCTTAGCGTAAACTCTTTTTTAGTAGTACTAACTACAGTAAACAACTGGGACATGTTCCAAAATGCATTCAATTTGTGTTTTTAAAGATGGTGTGTTTCAACGGAATTGTCTCTTTGTATAGATAACATGGCGACCTGTTCTCTGGGGTTTGGCTCTGCAGTTCATATTTGGCATTCTGATTCTAAGAACGAAGGAAGGATATGATGTTATGAAATACATTGGAGATAAAGTGACAACATTTCTTGATTTTACCGTGGCAGGCATTGTGTTTGTGTTTGGAGAGAAGTACTTTTTGCATTTTGTCGCCTTTAAGGTAATTACAAAAACATTGTACCTGGTTTTAAGCAAGGTGTTATCCAATATCTAAGAATAAGCTAGCAATTTCCCAATTTACATCTGCCGAAAATAACATGATTATTTTTTTTAAAAAGTTAGAAATTGATTCAATGTTCAACTTCTAGAACAATTTGATGTGGGACTTAACCCCATCAGTGTTACGAGGATGCCATCTAGCCTAAAATTTATTTGTCTGTTTTTAATTAACTTTTTCTTAACCCATTGAGGACATCACTCTCCACTTGACAAGTAAAGTCATCTGGCGTTAGACAGAGTAAAATACTAAAGCAGGGCACATTGCTACTTAAAGGGATAAGGATTAACTTGGATTTGAATGTCTTGGCACATCCAACCAACATTGTAAAACACAATGCACACAAATTAACAAGGCAATATTTTTGCTTCATTTTCAAGGTATTAATGGTGGTGATATTCTTCAGTTCAGTGACATCTGTCTTGTATTATCTTGGTGTAATGCAGGTGATAATAATCAAGTTAGCATGGCTTATGCAAGTCACATTGAGAGTGTCTGGAGTCGAGGCATTGTGTGCTGCTGCTAATGTTTTTGTAGGCCTGGTAAGATATTACAAATGAAGAAGATTTTTTTTTGGGGGGGGGGGGGGGAAGGGGTTGAGGGGAGGCTGCAAACCGGTCCCAGTAAGTTTTTGGTTGGCCAATCCAAATTGAAGAAAATGGACTTGATAATAAAATTGGCACCCCCTTTGCCAACAGGTTGTGCACCCCCTGCACAACACCACAGGAAGTCTATCCCTGAACCGGATAATAGATAGACATCTTTGATATTTTTTTTTGAAATCATCCCTTGCTCGAATTTTATTTTTAAAAAAGTGTTGGCGAGTGGGGGGAGGGAGGTTAACATTTTTTCAGGACACTAAAAAAAGGGTTTCTTGTTAAAACATACTTAATTAAAACCTTTTTTGCACCAATTAATATCTTCAATATTTAGGTTTAGAAATTTTTTTCTCACACTATTACTTATATCAAAAAAGTTTTATTTTCCAAATTTGGGGGCCACCCTTACACAACTTATAATTTTCTCTATTGAAAAGTCTCTGCACAATTTTTTTTTTAACTTTTTTCGTGCTCGAATTTTTTTTCTGTTTCCCCTGCTCGCTTTTTTAATTTTTGCTTTTGCCCCCCCCCCATTACTTTTCTAACGGTCCGCCCCTAATCTATCTTTAGGTAGAGGCGCCTCTTTTGATTGGCCCATTTGTGAAAAATGTCACAATGTCCGAGTTGCATGCCATAATGACCAGTGGTTTGGCAACCATAGCAGGCGGGATGTTAGCTGCCTATATCAGTCTTGGTATTGATGCAAATCATGTGTTATCTGCATCTGTCATGTCTGCTCCAGCAGCATTGGCTATTTCCAAGTTGATGTACCCAGAGACTGAAGTACCTGCTACATCGGGAGTGCATGCTATACAGTTTCAGAAAAGGTCAGTCATATATATATTGGTGGAGAGTTTGGCCACTGAGAACGGCAATGGTAGAAACAAAATTACTTACATTTTTGTATGCGAGCCACAGCATTCATTACTAAACTTTATTTGCCTCTCAATAGTACTTACCTTTCTTTTAATAATATCAACCCTTTACATCGTAGTGATAGTCAGTGAATTCACATAAAACACCCCACATGACTTTGCCACTTTGAACAACAATGGCATACTAGAATGCAGGTCAAGAGAATACAAGTTATATACAATTAAACTGATCAATTTTAAATATATATTTAACATTTTATTTCTTTAGAAATGAGAAAAATGTGATAGAAGCTGCGGCCCAGGGAGCTTCAATTGCAATTGGTTTGGTTGCGAATATTGGAGCAAACCTGATTGCATTTTTTGCTTTTCTTTCTTTCATAAATGCAATATTGTCCTATCTCGGTGGCTTGGTTTTATACCCAGAACTTTCATTTGAGGTAAGTTCTTACTTCAGTGTATTTGACCAGTAGGCGGGCAACTCAGCCCACCAACTCCTGGAAACTTGGCCCTCCAACCAACTACGTTTTGTTCCTTCTGGTAATAGAAGATGACTTATGGCAAGTCCAACCATGGTCCAACCAACTCTGAACAGTTGTTTACTTTGCAATTAATTTTCTGCTTCCAATTATAGCTAATTTGTTCATATATCTTTGCACCATTTGCCCTCCTGATGGGTGTTGAATGGTCAGATTGTACAAAAGTTGCAAAGCTGCTTGGCATAAAGACGTTTCTTAATGAGTTCCTGGCATTTGGTCAATTGTCAGTATTTATCAATAATAGGAAAACTATGTCAACAGGACCTGTTTTGTCGGTAAGCATTAAATGACTTTTTGTTATAGGTAATGTGGAAGGTTTGATTGGAGGGAGGGTAGACAAACTCTAGGGGGGGGGGGTCAGATCTATCATAAACACATAAATTCCAAAGTAGTTACAATTAGTGGATGGCATGGCGAACAGTATGTGGTTTCTTCAAAACAATGAAAAGCCAACGAAACATTCCCATCAGTGAGCTGTAACCTAAATAATTACCTTACCTGGTTCCAAAAATGTTTCAGATAAAACCTAAATGTGTAGATCAGTATAACCATGTTCCTTAATTGTATAACCATGGTTCTAAAGCACCCCTAAAACACCCCATTATAACAAGAACTTTATTAATTTTCTCAGCTTCGATCAGAAACCATTGCAGTGTATGTGCTGACTGGATTCACCAATTTCCTATCTGTGGGAATATTCCTGGGAGGTTATGGTCAGTTAGCACCAAATCGTAAAACAGACATGGCAAGGATTGCTATACGAGGTCTGATAGCTGCTACTCTGGCATGTATGGTCACTGCGTGTGTTGCTGGTAATTAATCCTTTTGCTGTAAAATCATGTATCTTGAAAAATGGCACATTTAGGTCAGCGATAGAATTAGGGTAGGTGTAGGATTAGCATTTTTATATAAATAGCGGAGACCAATGAAAAAATTGAAAATTTTCAGAACGTTTGGAATATGTTGGGCCATTTTTTTTAAAATTTTCAAAAATTTTCTGTGGTCCCCTTTTATGACCCTATGGTTGCCCCCCCTCCCCTTTGTATTTTCCAAAAAAATTAAAAATGGTTTTATCAGTTCAAAGTAATTCTTTTGATGAGAGAAATGTTTCTCGACAATTTTTAGCAAGTTTGGAATAGTTTGGGGCATGTTTTAAATTTTTGAAAATTTTGCTGTAGTCCCCCATTTTATGAAACAAAAATGAGGGTGCGAAAGGGGGGGGGGTATGGATCACGTAACTTCATAACGACAAAAACAATTTCACGGAAAACTAGATTCTAATAAAAAATTATAATAATAATAGGTTTATTAAGAGTATGTTTAATGCATGGTACAGTATCTACGCTTTAAGTTCTCTCACTTCTCTACCTAGCTGTCAGTTAAAAACTACCTCATAACTTGCAAGTTTGAGTCACGAGCATGTACGACGATCTCCGCGAGTGTCCTCAGCGTCAGGAACCTTGTCCTCAACGTCAGGAACCTTGTCCTCAGCGTCAGGAACCTTGTCCTCAGCGTCAGGAACCTTGTCCTCAGCGTCAGGAACCTTGTCCTCAGCGTCAGGAACCTTGTCCTAAATTTGGTTATCGCATATCATGTTTATTATGACTGTTATAAAATAGATCGAAATAAACAATTAGCAAAATCACAGTTCAGGAAACAGAGGATTTTTATCAACAATCACGGCTGTAAAACAAATCACATTTCACGACACGAAAATCAAGCATTTCACGCGAACAAATATTGAGCATTCACGTACGGCTCACGAAAATACCCTTTCCCACCCTCAAAAATAGGAAATTTCTTGTTTTATCCTTTGTCCGCTTAGATGTTACAGTTGATATTAGCAAATAACCGTACATTCAAATCTCTCATTGTTTAGGTATTTTGTACCAAGAGAACTGGGATCAGTCATCAAAGTTGAACCAGATGACATGACAGGGAAGGATAGTTGAAACTTGGCTTATTTTTTAGACCAAACAGAATATTTTTTTTCGTGCATATTTCTCATATTGACTTATTATTATATATATATATATATATATATATATATATATATATATATATATATATATATATATATATATATATATATATATATATATATATATATATATATATATATATATATATATATATATATATATATATCAGGGACTGTAAGTATATATAAAATTAGAATATTTTAATTTCTATTTATATTAATTAAAGGACAATGGCAACAAAAAATTTTATTGTTTCATTTTAAAGAACGTTTAAAATCATCTCTAAAATCTTGTTATTTATGTTTCATATCTTCCTTGCTTGATTCTTTGACTGATCTCGACAGCCAGTGATCAATATGAACCCGAAACACGATTTAATTGCTAGTTCAAATTTTGAATTGAATAAAAACAATTTAAACAACTTTTGATTGTTACTCTGTATAAACTTAGAAGTAATTTTATGAAGCTAACCCCACTTCTGACGTCATCAAAACGACAGTTAATGAGGTTAAGAATTAATCCAAGATGGCGGACAAGCTCATTGCTTTCAGTCAAAATATTTCAAGAGTTACTGTAAGCTTGATACGAAAAATCTGTAATAAAATTTTATAGATAATTTTAAACGTTCTTTGTATTGAGATAATAAAATTTTTTGTTGCCATTGTCCTTTATAAACTATGGAAAACATGTACCGGGAAAATTATAAATTCTGAATAATTTTTGTATTGAGGAAAATTATAAATTCTGAATAATTTTTGTATTGACCAATCAGGGAGATTCTTTTGTAAATACCAACCAATCAGATGTCTGTATTGAAGCAGAAATAATAGCATTCCAGAGAATAAATTATATTCAAATTTAGGGCGGCTCTCAATTTTCACTCGAAGTCTTCGCCTGTTATTTGTACTTTAAAGGTGAAGATACGACGCTTAAATACAGCAAAAAAGCACAAAATCCGAAGTTAAAGGCAAGGTTAAGGTATGTTCTATCATTTTGATGTGAAATGTTGATATTTTAGCGAGTTAAAGTGGTTAAAACTACTTGTCGAAGTTGACAACCGCAAGTCGCTTCACGTTCGATGTTCGTTTTGTTCTGGCATATTACTGAATTATACCTTACGTTTCGTGAAGTTTAGTTTAAATTAGTAGAGAGAAGAGTGCATTAAGTATTTAGGGTATTTTGGAGCTAAATGTGTTTTAAAACTTGTCATTTTAGCGAAAACAAGAAATGTTGAAATTGTCCAGAATGTCGTCCCGGCCATGTGCTTGCTGCGAAGAGACTCAGACATCGGACATTGTGATGAATGGTTGACAATGTGTGTCGCTGGCAAACCTACACCTCCCACTGCACTAGGCAGTCAAGTATTTTTAACCTGCACATTTTTGTTTTTATTTCCCCAATTTTTATTTTATGTTCATAAATATCATGACTCATGACTTTTATTAAAGCTGGAAGGAGTTGAGATTCCCCACTCAACTGCATGCCTTCTGAACATTAGACTCCATTTTACATGCTACCATTTTACCAGTAAGATTTTTTTGAAAATTTTGCGATATATGTTGTATGTATATAGCATGCATGAGCAGTACCATTTCAGTTTTATTATTTTTCCAAGGTCTCTGCGAGACTTCCAATCATTCAGCATGAACAAAAGCAGTACATGTAAAAAGAAAGGCGCCACTTTTTGGGTGTACTGTTTTTCTGTGTTGAATGGCTGGAAGTGCTGCAGGTATCTTGGGATATCTAATAAAGTTGTGATGTTATTTCGGTGCTGTTTCTATAATGGGCAGCTTGCTATGGCTATATGCCTTAGCCTAAAAAAATTTCAATTATTTTTCAAATAAAACATTTTGAGTGCTGTTTCTATAAAGAACAGCTTGCTATTACTAAAACTTGGTTTACTACATTCAGGGATGCCTGTACTTTTCAATCAACTGTACTTTTCGATTGACTTTCCAAATTACTTCACTGCTGTTTCTATATGGGACAGCTATTACTATCACTCTATGTTTTAGACTGTCTAATAAAATATAGACTATGTCATTTTTGTAAGGATGACATCTACATACTATATTGCAATGCTAGCACAGTTTATTGACATTTCAAATTTAGAAAAACCTAAGATTCACTGCCCATGTGTGTTCTAGTTACGATGAAAGGCAAGTGTAAAGTGCCGTTCATGGCTTAGGGATGTACTACATTTTATAAAAATATGCAGTAGTTTTACACAAGTATATATAGTGTTTTTAAACTACATGCTAAAAGTTTCCGACTGTTAAAATTGTGGCATGTAATTGTGGGTATCTTGCTAGGACTTGCAATTTAAATATTTACAAGCGCATTAGGTCTCTTAGATTTTAGTTAAGACCAACATGAGCGAGTGAGATAAACTCGACTAGCTTAGGATAAGGCATCAAGCGTGAAATCCACGCATTAGACCCCTCAGGATCGGACCCCAACCCTTATTTCAATACCAAATGTGAAATTACCCCCACCTTACCACATCATTGAAGAGTATTGGTGGATATCTTGGGCAAATGTGCATTATCTTGGTGGATATCTTGGGCAAATGTGCAACACCATGAGGGATATCTTGGGCAAATGTGCAATACCATGAGGGATATATTGGGTAAATGTGCAACACCATGAGGGATGTCTTGGGCAAATGTGCAACATAATGAGGGAGATATTGGGCAAATGTGCAATACTAATGGATAAAATGGTATGAAAGAAAGTGTTGTAAGGTTAGTGGATATTTATAATCAAGCGTAAAAAAATACCTGTGGTTCTGGTTTCATATCGCGAAAAAATTAGGGACGGTAGATCGGAAATAAATTTTTTTGGAATATTTTTTTCATGGTTTTTTCAATAATTAGTGTGACAACAGACACCATTTTGGCAGCAGCCCGCAACCACCCAGAGAAAAAAGGGTCGCACAGTCAATCGCGTTGAAAAAAATAATAGGGTCGGCAGAAAAAAATAGGGTCGGTCGGGAACTGGAACCACAGGCATTTTTTTTACACCTAATATCAGTAAGGTGAGGGGAGGGGGGGGGTTCCTGCGATTAGGAACAAAGTAAGTCCAAATTAAGAGGAAACAATATGGCGGAGTGTAACAAATGAACAATATGGCAGACTGGTTAATATGTAACAATGATGCACAATTAGAACAGGCAAAATGCAAATGTTGTTGTATAAACAACATATCACAAAATATGCTTCTGACAACTACATGCTATATGTTGATAGGAATTTGAATAAGTCTTCAGCCGGGAGCCAGGGATGATTTAGAATTTTCGTTTTATTTTTATTGATGATTTTCTATAAATTATGATTCTCTAATTAATTAATATATAGATTGTAATTTTATAATACAGAAAATAATAGAGTTCTTGAATTTGAAAAAGTTTTTAGGAGGCATGATTTAGGATTTTTGTTTTAATTTATGATTTTCTATAAATGGGTGCCCCAACTAATTTAAGATTGTAGATATAATATATAGATTGTAGATTTTGTAATATAGAAAAAAATAGGCCTTATCAAAAAAACTTAAATCCTGTGAAAAGACTATAAAATTTTTCACCAATGGCCCTTGGCATTGCTGAAATTCAATGATCATGGCATATGTCAAAGTCTAGCTGTCTGTTGAAAATCTACGGTATTAAAATATACATCAAACAGGGTTCGTACGGCCCCTGGAGAACCCTGGATTTTTATTTTAGTCCTGAAAAACCCTTGAAAACCCTGGAATTTCAAATTTATCCCTGGAAAACTGAGAAACTGAGCTGGGTATAGGATCATACTAATTTTTAATTTTAATTTTATACCTAAACTATTTAAGACTAACTTAAAAAGAAAGATTGAACAAAAGGTTCTTGCATTATATATAGTCAAACTATGAATATATTTAGTTCTAACTGGTACAATCGTTTCTTATCTGTTAAACACTTATAGATTTATATTTCAAATGCCCTGGAAAACCCCTGGAAAAAGGATGAAAAAAGTCCTGGAAAACCCTGGATTTTTTAAATTATGAAGGTGTACGATCCCTGATCAAAGATATTTCAAATGACAATATATTATATGTCTTTCAACAAACACTGCTTTTATTGTAGTACGACATTTATAAATTTTATAAACAGCTTTCATTTTGGCACAAGCTTTAATTTTCTGCTTTATATATATTCTTTATAATAACAAGTGTGAAGTGAGATTTCTTTTTTTTTTGCTTTGTACATTTAAAGTTTTAATTGTGAATCATCTGTTTGTTTCTAGTTCATTAGTCATTATGCTACTAAGTAAAACAATTAAGGCTCTCAAATATATTTGTACATTTATTTGATAGCGTCATAGTGATACATGTATTTACACACAAGCAATCCTGTAGAAACGATACAAGCTGTCCATTTAAAAAATAACGTTATTCTATTCCAAGTAGAAGTAGAAAACTTGAAAATTTATGTCTATTTGTAAATAGAGAAAGAGAGAAAATTCGTATGACAGTCGGTGTGCATCTGACACTGTAAATTTGTGATATAGATAATAGTATATTAGGATTATAGTATAGAGACCAAGCAAAAGACTACAGCCTGACTATTAAATTACTGAATACAAATCATGTGCTAAATCCAAAATTTTGTGGGGATAAATCACTGACAGACATTTCTCTGTTTGGCTAGTAGTATCAAATGTTTACATTTGCCTATATTGGGGTCTAGTCCTATAAAATACAATACTGTTTATTTTAAAAATCTTATAAACAAGACGTGCAAAGCATATCAACGTTTACAAGAAATTAGGATTATTGTTTTTATTTATGATTTTCTATAAAGACTATGTTGTAAGGTTAGTGGGTATTTATAATATTAATAGCAATAAAATGCAGGGTTCCTGCGATTGGGAACAAAGTAAGTCCAAATTAATTTAAGAGGAAACAATATGGCAGTGTGTAACAATAATAATAATAATATTTATTCAAGAAGCTTGACTTACCGAACAATATGGTGGACTGATTAATCTATGACAATGATGCATGATTAGAACAGGCAAAAAGCAAATATTGCGGCATAAAATTTGAATAAGTTTTTAGCAGAGATGATTTAGGATTTTTATTTTATTTCTATATTTATGAAATTCTATAAATGAGTGCCGCAACTAATTTGAGATATAATAATGTATAAAATATATAGATTGTAAATTTTGTAATATAGAAAATAATAAAGTTCTTATAATATATATGTATCTAATACAACAACTACATGTGATATGTTGATAGGAATTTGAGTAAGTTTTTAGTAGGCATGAATTAGGATTTTTGTTTTATTTCTATTTATGAAATTCTATAAATGGGCGGCACAACTAATTTGAGATATAATAATGTATAAAATATAGATTGTAAAATTTGTAATATAGAAAATAATAAAGTTCTTATAATATATATGTATCTAATACGACAACCACATGTGATATGTTGATAGGAATTTGAATAAGTTTTTAGTAGGCATGATTTAGGATTTTTGTTTTAATTTATGATTTTCTATAAATGAGTGCCCCAACTAATTTGAGATATAAAAATGTATAAAATATGGATTGTAAATTTTGTAAATAAATATAGAAAATAATAAAGTTCTTACAATATATATGTATCTAATACAACAACTACATGTGATATGTTGATAGGAATTTGAATAAGTTTTTAGTAGGCATGATTTAGGATTTTTGTTTTAATTGATGATTTTCTATAAATGAGTGCCCCAACTAATTTGAGATATAATAATGTATAAAATATAGATTGTAAATTTTGTAATATAGAAAATAATAAACTTCTTATAATATACATGTATCTAATACAACAACTACATGTGATATATTCATAGGAATTTGAATAAGTTTTTAGTAGGCATGAATTAGGATTTTTGTTTTATTTCTATATTTATGCTATTCTATAAATGAGTGCCCCAACTAATTTGAGATATAATAATGTATGAAATATAGATTGTAAATTTTGTAATATAGAAAATAATAAAGTTCTTATAATATATATGTATCTAATACAACAACTGCATGTGATATGTTCATAGGAATTTGAATAAGTTCTTAGTAGGCATGAATTAGGATTTTTGTTTTATTTCTATATTTATGCTATTCTATAAATGAGTGCCCCAACTAATTTGAGATATAATAATGTATAAAATATAGATTGTAAATTTTGTAATATAGAAAATAATAAAGTTCTTATAATATATATGTATCTAATACAACAACCACATGTGATATGTTGATAGGAATTTGAATAAGTTTTTAGCAGGCATGATTTAGGATTTTTGTTTTATTTCTATTTATGCTATTCTATAAATGGGTGGCTGACAACTAATTTGAGATATAACAATGTATAAAATATAGATTGTAAATTTTATAATATAGAAAATAATAAAGTTGTTATAATATATATGTATATAATACAACAACTACATAATATAGAAAATAAAAGAGTTCTTATAATATACATGTATCTAATACAACAACTACATGTGAATGTGATATGTTGATAGGAATTTGAATACGTTTTTAGTAGGCATGATTTAGGATTTTTGTTTTAATTTATGATTTTCTATAAATGAGTGCCCCAACTAATTTGAGATATAATAATGTATAAAATATAGATTGTAAATTTTGTAATATAGAAAATAATAAACTTCTTATAATATACATGTATCTAATACAACAACTACATGTGATATATTCATAGGAATTTGAATAAGTTTTTAGTAGGCATGAATTAGGATTTTTGTTTTATTTCTATATTTATGCTATTCTATAAATGAGTGCCCCAACTAATTTGAGATATAATAATGTATAAAATATAGATTGTAAAATTTGTAATATAGAAAATAATAAAGTTCTTATAATATATATGTATCTAATACGACAACCACATGTGATATGTTGATAGGAATTTGAATAAGTTTTTAGTAGGCATGATTTAGGATTTTTGTTTTAATTTATGATTTTCTATAAATGAGTGCCCCAACTAATTTGAGATATAAAAATGTATAAAATATGGATTGTAAATTTTGTAAATAAATATAGAAAATAATAAAGTTCTTACAATATATATGTATCTAATACAACAACTACATGTGATATGTTGATAGGAATTTGAATAAGTTTTTAGTAGGCATGATTTAGGATTTTTGTTTTAATTGATGATTTTCTATAAATGAGTGCCCCAACTAATTTGAGATATAATAATGTATAAAATATAGATTGTAAATTTTGTAATATAGAAAATAATAAACTTCTTATAATATACATGTATCTAATACAACAACTACATGTGATATATTCATAGGAATTTGAATAAGTTTTTAGTAGGCATGAATTAGGATTTTTGTTTTATTTCTATATTTATGCTATTCTATAAATGAGTGCCCCAACTAATTTGAGATATAATAATGTATGAAATATAGATTGTAAATTTTGTAATATAGAAAATAATAAAGTTCTTATAATATATATGTATCTAATACAACAACTGCATGTGATATGTTCATAGGAATTTGAATAAGTTCTTAGTAGGCATGAATTAGGATTTTTGTTTTATTTCTATATTTATGCTATTCTATAAATGAGTGCCCCAACTAATTTGAGATATAATAATGTATAAAATATAGATTGTAAATTTTGTAATATAGAAAATAATAAAGTTCTTATAATATATATGTATCTAATACAACAACCACATGTGATATGTTGATAGGAATTTGAATAAGTTTTTAGCAGGCATGATTTAGGATTTTTGTTTTATTTCTATTTATGCTATTCTATAA